TGCGCAATTTGACATCATTTCAAAGCAGATAGGACAGTATATTTGACCAACAGATTCTGGGATAACAAGCATGAATAAAAAACAGTTTGTACAAGTAACACACCCGGATACTGGCGACCCGATCTCAAAGTCATTGCAAGAGCTGTCACTCAGGATTGAATTTCGAAATACACCCTGACCCTTTTACGAAAATATGCTTCGATGGGTGGAGGAGGTTAGGTCGCCGATAGGCTCCACTTACACGGACAGCTAGCATGAGGGAGTGATGGTTAAGGCGCAAAGTTTGCCACACATGCCACTGTTGGCAGCAATCCAAGGCCAAAGATCGGTAAATTTCATCATAATTTCTCCGTTTGCGGTCTCCTCGTTTGCCGTGTTCCACGGATCTAGGGGAGCCAAGTGGTAAACAAGAAATCGTTGCATGTTACGCTTAGGCAGGCGTGTGTCAATAAGGTGCGCACCATTAGCTCCGCCCATCGCTGGATGGACGAGTTTTTGCATTAAAACCTTAGCATGCTTCATGGCCATGTTTGAAAGTCCACTAACATTTTGCAATAAGCTTGTTTCAAGCTGAAATAAGCTTCACAAGCTACAGAATCTTTGTTCTTGTTGCTTTCTTTGAAAATTTATGAGCTATTGGTGTTGACCATAAACTTATGAGAGTTTTGCTGAATAACTTCATAAACGATACTCAGGTTTGGAGTGTGAAAGATATTACACCTCAAGCATGATTGCTTCAGTGAGCTCACATCTTTGAACAAACACTACGCCCGTGCTTCCAGTTTGAATTGGTAACATTTTGTCGAAGCAGTGCTTTCAATCGATTTGAATTTAGGGTGACAGTTTTTGGGGGTAATAAAGGACTTCCTTGTCAAGCAGAGCACCTAAAAGAGATTTTCAGTACTTTAAGTTCTCCTTAAACTGAATTTCGAGCTATCAAATACTTTAAAAACCAGTGGATTCCGATTTTCAAAACATTGCCAAAAATCATCTTTTAGTTTGAGAAAGCACTTGAAACTTAATGCAGTGAATTTGTCTGCTGAAGTTGTAAGGTATGCTAAAATGTATTTAGCTACATTTTTGGTTTCGAAACTATTCTATTAATATAACAAAATGTTGTGCTGATCGGATGAGCAAGTTTATTTTTTCCAAGCGAAGTCTCTAAAGTGGATGGTAAGATACTCAAGACAAATTTTACTTAGAGTGCTCATGCAGTAAAAATATGGATCAACCATCAAAAATAATAAAGATATTGATAAAAAAAGAAAGCGCAAACAAACTACTTCAGAACGAAAAATAATTCTAAAAGATGGTTCTTGACTTTTGCAAAAATCTTATTTACTGCACCCTGAGATGAACAACGGAAAAAGCACAGATTACATATAAGAGAGCCTTTACATAAGTGTAACGCATTCCTATGCCAATCAACCAGGAGGTGGAGCCTTCTGCGCTCCGCGTGCGGTAGCCGGCTGCCGGCTGGAGCCGTCCATAATGTCAACCCCATCGCAAAGTCGCAGTCTAATTATCTTCTGGGTTTCAAGACAGAAGAGATTAGAAAGAAGTTTGAAAAGTCCAAAATTTTTCGCTTATAGGAATTTGCTCGGAAGGGTATCTTTAGGTTTACCTTGCTAGGCCGAAAAAAAAAACTCCAAGCACATACTTTGAAGGATTAAAAAAATCCTTGCCAAGTTTAACTCTATCTACAAACTTATAATGACTGAAGTTGATGTCGATTTGAACGATTCGAGTCTACATAATGTACAAATTATACAAGGGATCTTAGTTTTAAAATTTGCATTGAAGCACCCAATCTTGCACCTTACAGCCGCGAGCATTATTCCAAAGCACCCGTGCAGATGCTCTGGAATACTTTAGTTCCTCAGTTAGGTACTCATCACCTACTGCAGTTTACCCTCATCTGAGACTGTGTAGTTAACCTTTCTCGAAGTAAGATGTGAGGTGATCTCCGTTCTACAAGGTTTCTGTCCTTTGTTTCTTTATCGCATATGGTTGTTGCACTGTGTAGTATTTTCATGTGTCGATGATGTTTCTTACTCAGTCTATTTTGCTCAAAAAAGGTTAGTTGATTGAAGGATGATCGTACGGAATAAAGCAGAAGGATGAGAGATTTCGGCCTGATTCGGACACCTTTCGAACGAGCCTGTTTTCGAAATAGATCTATTATTCAAAACGAATTCCTTGTTGCATGACAACGTTTTTGGTCCGGGACCCCAGGCACAATCCATTTCAGCCGTGATCTCTTCGCGGAGACTTAGAGGCAGACATTTTCTTGTTGCTCGAAGATGGACAACGTTATATTGCCCAAACTTGGAGAAATCACGTCTCTAAGGTTCAAATGTAACCAATTCTCTGAAAGGACCAACTAATTGCAGGTTCAGAAAAACGGCAGCCGGATAGGGAATGTCCGAGTATCTATAGCCTGAGTGCGGAAACTTAGGTACCTTGGCGGTTACACTGGGGCGTAATTATGAGTGGTCATAAGCTGTAAATATGGATAATTAACATCCGTCCAAGGTGCATTTCAGTTCCCGCACCCTGACGACAGTCACTCACAAATTAGCGTGGTGAATGAAAGACGGAAAGAACAATAATTAAACAGAAAATTTATTATCGAAAGTTGTTTGAACGAACTAAAAACTGCAATCACGAATTTCTAAGGGTGCTTCTTCCAAATATGCAACCCGTTTGCATGAGGGGCTATAGAGACGCGCCGTAACTATCGGTTTCAAAACAACTTTGAGTTTGAAAATTCAGCATTAGAAGCTGTCCGAACAGACCAAATCGTGGGCTCATCCATTATCGAGGACGCTCTTTCTGGGTACATAAAGTACTGCTCAAAATCTTTCGATTCATTCATAAAACCGCCACCGGCTGCCAGGATAGCTAAGTTGGCTTAATTAGCCGATAGCTAGTTTTCCCTCCTATAGCATCCGTTGGTCATACCTTGCGCGACTCCGGTCGCTGCTCGATCTAATTGCTATCGTTTACAACTTTCCGCAAGAACGCTCTGATTGAGACTTGGCACTTTACATCAGTTCACAAAAGCTTTAGATCTATTGAAGTATGCGCGCTGTGTTCAAAGTATGCGCGTTGTGTATTTGACTTCCGAGGAATTCTGGCGAATCTAATCGGGTGGCGACAGCGACTCAGTCGAATCGCTCAAGGTGTGACCGATGGCTACGCGAAATAGGACATCTTTTACCCAGCCTGTCGGCGTATTCTGAAGATAACGAACTACAAAGTATTTACTGCTTGTGTAAAATAGCTTCTAGTGTGGTCAATTGAACTGGCTTATTAGAAGAATGCAAAGCTCTAAACGACCGAGATTGGGAGATATTACATGCGACAGCGAGAGCACGGCTCAGCAGAGGTGGACCACACGCTGAATGTTTTTTTTTTGAGGAAAGCAAAAGGGGAATCGTAAAGTTTTCAAGGGTGATTTCCGGATCTGACAGAATATTAGCGAGAACTCTTACTTTTATAGTCGTCCTCCCCCCACTAGACACCTAGTGGGCGGATTCGAATTTGAACTAGAGCACGCCGACTGTGGCAGAGCGCGGCACCGTCAAATGCATTTCAAGCTAAAGCAGTTTTCTTTTGTGTTTTTTGCCGTTGCATTGTGATTTCTTTGTTTTAATGATAATTGTAATCAGAATTGGAGAGTTTTTTGTTGCTTAGCGATGTTTCGTACTGCCATGCTCGTTTCTTTACTCTGTTTCCAGAAAACTTGGAAAAGCGATGCACATGGAGAATTCTTAACATGAATTGCTCAATGAAGCAACACTTCAAGACTTACCGAGGAAAATCTCACCAGTTTTCAAACTTGGTCGTTTTTTCAAGCTTAACTTGGAATCACAGTCAAAGAAACGAGCATAGCAGCAGATCCATTGCACAGATTAAAGCAACAACTTCAATACCAATTGATAAAAAGAAAACTGTCAGCATTCAAAAATTAGTTGATACGTCGCAAAAACCCAAAAAATTTGTTTGAGATTGAGAGCTGCACGTGCCGCACTCTGCCGCAACCGGCGTGCTCTAGTTCAAACTCGAATTCGTCCACTGGATGTCTAATGGGGAGAGACTATACCCGAATTTGGGGCTCTAACGGTATATTACCGTAACACGCAAATTAACACGCTACAAACACGACTAGTGCATGAATTTGTGTGCCCACGATGCCAACATGTTGGAACATCTTTATGGACAAAAAATAAACAATTATTACAACAAAAAAGCGATATCAAGCATCAAATTCTACAGCTTCGCGACGATGACCAAAAGAAAACGTGAAAAATTATGATGAAATTATGTGAATAAAAGAAGTTGTGAGTGTTTTTATAATTTAGGTCCCCGTGCAAAACATGGGAGCACCCTAAGGTTGCGCGGGATTAAACAAAGTCGTAATTGGTTCCCCACATAATTTTTCGAAAGTTTTTACACAAATCTATTTTTTGGTTCATGCTCTACATATAAATGCTCACCGTTACAAGTTGCAACCTTTGTCTTTGCTGCAGCCCTTATTGTAAGAAAAACCTCTCTTTGTCGCCTTTTGTGTTTTTCCACTCTAACTTTCCTTATTTTCACATCTATCCACTATCTTTCGCTGCAGATTGTAAGCCGTACCTCAACGAAAACCGCAAAAGGTTGTTCGTAAACTTCTGCACGGTCATAGGGGACTTCGTTTCCAAGATTCCCAAATGTCACCTCGTGCTAAACCCTGAGCGAGGGTAAACCAAAGAATTTCAAATGCACCCTCTAAACCATTATAGATATTAGTTGTGTTTGTGTTGGTTAAATAATAAATTGTTACATCAGTGTCGTTGGAAGTGATTATTTGAAGTAAGCACAATAGATGCAAGGAAACCAAAAATTGCTTTACTTTACTTTTATTGGCAGAACATCGTGGACAGTACGTTGGACACCGTCGTAGAATAAATTTTAGCAGAAAATGTGGCGATCCTATCATGATGAAATTACAGGGCCAACCTTGGGGTGTGGCACGCTACAACCGAGGGTCGTATCGAGAAGAAAGGGAGAAATCGTATGAGGCGACATTGGTGAGACAACGTGATATTTAACAATCGGCTATGCAGAACTCGCACACTGAGATATTAACTTCAGGCAGCGAATTCTTAGATCATCAGTCAGTAATTTGCTAGAAGCTATCTTCAAAACAAAGTTAACTTTGGATATGATCATTTCAGCTGGGAGTATCGGTATTCGGAAACTTCAGAATAGTGTGATGAAAGAGTTATTTGAAAGCAAACCCATCATGCTTGCAAGGACTCCCATCTTCTTACTGCGGGGAAACGGTTATTCAGAGGATCTTATTGAAATAACTCAGGGTATTGTATTGTCGGTCATTTGCCACACATCTTGCTGACCCCGTATTCACATCACTAGGTCTAAGGCATACCACGCGCGATTCGGCCAAATCGCGAAGTTCAGCGACCTGGCACTTTGCCAGATGTCTTCAAATCTATCGGGTAAGGTTCTTCAATACATAGGCGCTTAGCTTCTATAATTTTTTGCAAACAGATTATGTTCTGCCCAAATAGAGCGATCTGATGACAAATTACGAACAGTCATTATGGTACGGAATCGCGTAGCGGCTGGAATGGCGTTAGGTATATGGTACCGAATCGCGCAGCGGCCGGAATCGCGTGAGGTATGCCTTAGGCCTTAGCAGCACGATCACGACTATCTTTTCTGTTGTTTGTACTCCATAAGCTTGTGGCTTACAGTTCGATTTGGACGATTATGCAAATCGTGATATGCAAATTTGGGTGGTAATCGTAGTCGACTCGTGGTCAGAAGTGCTTATCTGCCCTATAGTTCATAAGCAAGCCGTTGTTCTGGGAGTACTGTGTACATTATCGCAAAATGTCCTTTCGGAACAAATGTTCTCTCCTGCTTTCACAGTGTGTACATCACATTTTGTGTACATCATTCTATCACATTTTCTATCATCTCGATCCATTTTCACTTTGCGTACGGTAAAAAAATAAATTTGGATCTGTTCTTTTTCTTTCATTTAAATCTTTTGTAAAAGAAGGGTTTAAGCTTGCGATGTCACTCGACTTGTGGATAGGCTTAACCGCCGCTGTAGCTGCATCCGTTCTGTTTGGCACTGTTTTTGTACCAATCAAGAAAGTTGCATGTGGAGATGGTGAGAATTTATTTGAGTTGTCGCGATATTCTTATTTTTCACTAAACTTAGTCATGACAATCAGATATATATATATATATATATATATACAGGGCAGTGGCGTACCCAGGATTTCGGCTCGGGGGGGGGGGGGCGCGACGAAAATTTTTTTTCTAAAGAAGGTGCGTGGCGTTAGCCCCGCACTCCGAAAAAATTTTGGGGGTGCTTCCCAAAATTCTTTCTGGTCCCCTACCCGTAAAATCTGGAAAAGGGGGCGTGGCGTCAGCCACGCCCCCGAAGAAAATTTTTTTACAAGGCTAATTTGAATTTTTAAAAATTTTCAAAAATTATTTTAATTCTTTACAAAAAATAAACAAGTCATTTACACATTTTTATAACCCATATAAGTAACTTTCAAAATTTTCGCGACCCATTCTCGGGGGGGGGGGCGCGCCCCCCCCCCCCCCCGCCCCCCCCCCCTCGGTACGCCACTGATACAGGGTGTCCCAAAAGTAAGTACACACTTTTTAATCGCCAATATCTCTCTTCCAATGGGTCTTTTTTTGCCAGTCAAGTACCATTCTGTAGAGGAGGCTTCAACTTAGATTTACAGTATCGATCGAATCACCGATCTCCCTTCGTTACTGTGGGACTACGGCATGAACTTCCAGCATGTGGAATCATCGAGAAATATGCCATCTGACAAATTTTTTTCAAAAAACCCGAAAAATTGTGAACTAGGGTTTTCGCGCACGCTGATTCTACCATATAACTTTTTACGAGTGTTTTCAGCTTTTTTGACGGTGCAATCAAATTTCTGACAAATACTGGGAATTCGGTTACTATGGTTTACCTGGGATAACTTTGGAAAGAAGCATCACAGTAAAGTGAAAACTCATATTTGGAATCAGCGGCTTCCACTACCATAGTATAAGAATTTTTGGCTTGTTTGCTTTTGTTCCGAGGTAGAATATGGCTTTTAATAGCCTAAAATCCTTGTCGAATTTCCTACAATTTTCCTACAATTTCATTACAGTAATCCTATAGTAATGAAGAACGATTGGTGATTCGCTCAATACTGAAAATCTAAGTTGAAGCCTTTTCTACAGAATGATACTCGAAAAGCCGAAAAATACGCAATGGGAAGAGAGATATTAACGATTGAAAAGTGTGTACTTACTTTTGGGACACCCTGTATATAAAGTCAAAGTTTGTGCAAATCTTGACCATACGTTTTCTATAGACTCCTTTGCGCTTGAACCGATTGAGCTGAAATTTTGCACACATATGTTTCCGACCACGTAGATGGTTTTAGGCTAATATTTGGAGCGATTTGCTGGATCTTTTCATTGATATTTTGGTTTTTGGCACTTCGCAATGGAGAAGTCTTATCAATCCTATCAAGCCCCCTGCACATTTTGGTGTACACAATGGCAGAAAAGCTCGTTCTATGTTCTGATAAGAAGAACGCGGTAGAGCTAACTGGTTACCAAGTTTTCAAAAGTTGTTGATGACCGTCTCGCACATGTGGAATTGAATCCAGTTCCGCGAGAATGCGGAGCCATATTTAGTCCACTGTTTGTGAAATGGCCCATTTACTTAACTGTCAAAGCGAAACTTTTGAAGGGCTTCTAAGCGCAAAAACGTAGACAATGAAGATAACGATAAGGATTAGGACTTTTGGATACACCACTTCAAATGTCATGTATGTAGATTCCATAATTGATTAGAATTTTGGAATTAACTTAGAACAGCCGGGGAAAGCCGGGTACAGCGGCTAATCATATATTATTGAAAAGAGGCAGTGTCGTACTTGGCACATAAATTCGATATGTTTCCAATTACGCCACGCCTAATATATGCATACAGTAACCGTACGCACCAAAAACAAACAAAGAAAATTTTTAGGGTCTTTATACTTTTGAAGTGAGTAAAGTCACTTCAGAGTCAAGCCATCCATGTGTCAATCAATTGTGAAGTGTTCGACACGAGGCTGCAGTGTAGATGACTTGATTTGTCTTCCTTTTTTGAAGGTTTGGCCAGGATAAGGCATGGATGGTCTGGGGCAAAATGGGCTTCGTTTTTAAGATTAGAAGCAACGGGACGCGCCGAAAAGAAAGTCAAACATGACAGGTTTTACGAGTTGAAGTTCTTTTCGCAAGTGCGCGAATTTCAAACGCAAAACTCAAACAAACAAATGGCCTTGTTTATAGCGCACAAACAATAAAATGTCACTAAATTTGGGCTATATATGTACAATATTGCTCCAAACTATATGATGTAAAAAGCTCTAAGACTTATGTGTCCTAATACCCGTTCCCGATCTGTTGGTTTCTAAACCAACACCAAACCAACTGGGTTGGTTCGAAGCACAAATATCGGAGAGTTCACGTAAGTTTTTGAATTTTTTGAACTGGACGATTAGAACACTCAAAAATCTATCACATAGCGAAGAGAGCGAATTAAACCATTGCCTCTCTTCTTCTTTTGAGCCAAAAATAGTGCAAACTAGGCATTGATAGATATCGCGCTCCAATCACATGCGGTGTCCCTCGAACAATGCAGCGAAAAAAGCATCGCCACATTGTTGGGGCCACAGATTTGGTTGCCTAGGAGGTTTTCATCATTCTGAGCACTAATGGTACCAGACTCAAGAACGGACTTCATTCACTCAGAATTTTTTTTGCTTTTTGTTATCTTAGATACTCATAATAAGTTTAATTCGTTTGTCATTTTGATTGAATAAGGGTTCCCCTACTGACTTTTACGTCAAAAGAGACTTCGTAAATTTTCGCGAAGTTATAGGAGACTTCGTTTTCAAGAATGCTCCAAACCAACGCGTGCCGGGCCCTGGCTTTGTCACGCATCATGTTATCAAAGGCAGTCTGTACAAGTATGTTCTCCAAGCTCTGAAAATTGAAGAGTAGGCCTTATCGTTTGCCATCCTTTAGACATGCAACTCCACAATTCAAGATTCAGCTTCTACATGATGCTCGCACTTGATCATGCATTGCAAATTTTCGGCAAATCGTAATCTTTTAGTGCCTCGACTCCGCACCCACTGATCCAATGTACAACGATGACAATGAAATACTACCATTCTCGTTTATTTATTTATTTATTTATTTATTGGGTTGAACCGAAAGTTCGGCTGTTTTCAGCCCCATGTTAAAACCACTTAAAATAAAAATAAACAAACGCTGTAAGCAATATCCGATGCAGAATTTCTTCCTCTTTCCAGCAGCTATGTTTCCGTTGTGACTGCTTCGACGATTCCTGAGATAATTGCCGAAGATAGAACCCTTCATTTTTACCATCTCTAACTTTCACTAATTGTTGTCATAGTCTTCATTTTAGACTTTTGAAGTTGTATAATAGCCACCTGATAAGACAAACCTTTTTCAAATCAATGCAATTCTCTTGCATGCTTTCTAGAATCTAAAATATGTTTTCTGTAGTGACCAAATTTTATATTTAGTTCACTCTAACCTCGCAAAAGTCAGACATTGAACCGTTTAGGTACCATTCGATGCATATTTTTCTTCTCTTTCTTACTGCTACCTTTCCTTCATGAAATATGCGACTTTTACACACAAAACGCTGTAACAATTTTACGGGTGCGCAAGATTATAGTCGAAATTCCAAAATCTACCCATTTTCACGCCGCAATCGCTCATTTACTTCGTAATACTAGTGAAAGTAATAACCGGATTTAGAACTTCAATATTTTGAGGACTTCGAGTGTTTGGTGCAATTATGTGTCACACGACTTGTTCAAAATTCGATACTCTAGTAAAATAATATAGCAAAAATCTAAAGAGGGAACTGGAAAAATACAGGAAAAAAATCACAATTTGCAAAAGGTTTGCCTTATCAGCTGGTTATTAGAGCACCTTCAAAAGTCTAAATGAAAATTCTAAAAATTAGCGAAAGTTAGAGATTGTAAAAATGAAGAGTTCTAACTTTCGACAATTATCTCAGCGCTCGTCAAAGCAACCACAATGAAAACGTAGCTGCTGGAGAGAGGAAGAAATTCTGCATCAGGTAGTGTTTGATAGATTTGTCTGTCTTTATTCTAACAAGGGAACGATACTTAGTGTCCGTGGCCTTTTGAGATGAAATGTATACCAACACACTTGCCTTCGAACGCTGATTCCTTCCTCTGAAAGAAGTTATGAAGGATTTTCGCGCCAAATTTGGCCTCCAGAGATATGGTAGGAGAACCAATACCCCGGTAGTTGTGGTGTAGTGCTAGTGCGTTAGCCTGACAAGCTGAAGCAGGTGTAGGTTCAGATTCTTCTGTATTTTTCAGTTTTGCATTGCCTCAATTAAGCTTCTTTTCAAAAGCTATTAAGCTTCTTTTTGAGAATTAGACATCTTCGAGGTAAATGCATGTACTTGCTTGTTGAAAATTTGACGAGGATTCATTTTTATACAGCTGTTTCCTATATTTATTCCAAGAGGTGCCTATAAAAATGAACGGAAAATGAATGCATGTTAACATGTTACCATGTTGGTGTCCCTATCTTATGTGCCTCGCGCGTCCAAATTTGGCGCGAAAATCCTTCATAACTTCTTTCAGAGAAACGCTCAGCAGAAACGGAAACCAGATTTGGAATCAGCGTTCGAAGCCGAGTGTATTGGTATACATTTCATCTTAAAAGGCCACGGACACTAAGTATCGTTCCCTTGTAAGTGGTTTTAGCATGGGTCTAAAAACAGCGCAAACTTTCAGTTCAACCTAATATTTATTTGTTACTTACTAGCGACCCGTAAGGTCGCTCTCAAGTGGGTCAGGGCAGATATTACAATATAAGGGCTTAGTTGTGACTGCAAAAATTTTCGAATAAGTTTCCTATTAATTCCCTGAGAACATTTTTGCAAAAAGCATTCTACAAAAGGAGAACTGCTCGAAGAAGCAACAATCTCCATAAACCATTGAGCATTTCTCAAAATTCTGCTACATCCATGCATGAAGATTTTCTCTTGTTTACCACGCTCTTTCTGCAGATTCCCCCCCCCCCTCCCCCACCCACAGAGACATTTAGATACCCCCCCCACTTTCTACCTCCTCAAAGAGAATTTGCTTGTCCAGTTCTTCTCAAAAAGTTCCTTAGAAGATCATTAAGTAAGTAGCAGAACACCTATCGTTTTGGAAGTAGAAATACGTTTACAACAATTATGTGTAAAAAAAACACTTCTCTCAGAATCATTTCCAATAGCAACGAAATCAATCGTCTAAGAACTTCGTCAAAAAAACCTTGAATTTTTTCGCCAAAGGAATATGAAGCTTTACTAAAAAGGAGATCCCTTTCGGAAAGAACGACTACGGAGCCACCTAAAGACCGTCAATCATATGAACTGCACAAACGTACAAAAAATTTGTTTCCCTTTCGACCAAATTGCCCTTCGTGCCGCTTACAAACCAATATTATCTATTTGAAAGGCAGTTCGTGTCCTACGTGTCGCTTAGAGGTCGTTCAAAAATTATAAGAATTGCCCCATACGTACAAAAATCTGTTTCTTTGCCCAATCAAATTCCCCTACGTGCCGCTTACAGATCGAGACTAACTATTTAAAAAGGAAGTTTATGCCCTATGCGCCGCTTGAAGACCGTATATATAAGAAAAACCAACTACGACTTCTATAAAAAGAAAACAACGAAATCAAGTATTAACTGAAAGCGTATTCTCAAACTGCCATACGTGCCACTGTAAGACCTTCAATTCTGAGAACTGCCCCAAACGTACAAATATCTGTTTCCTTGCCCAATGGAATAATTGTACTTATAACACACCATGGAAAAAAATGGCAAAATCGAATAAGCATGACTAGCCAGCCTCAAACACGGGTTGTGGAATTCGTTGGATTTGCGAGATTTCGCTTAACGTTCCGTAAAACAGATTTCTATATATATTTTTTAGCTAAATTTCACACAGAATGGCTGAAATTTTGGATGAAGAAGGTGAAAAGCAAAGAGGGTAGTAAAGATAATGTTTATACAAATGTGCGCGTACTCTCTAATTGTAAGAGAGGTCAAAGTCACAAGTGAATACATAAAACCAGCAATGACACGCAAATGCGGGCTGTAAGTATATTGGGTTTTTTTTTTGAACAAGTGATAGATATTTATCTTGACGAAATCAGAATTATTTACATTAAAATGAAAAACATAAAAAATGGGTTTAGATAACGAGACTGCATGCTTTTCAACTATCAAATAATTTTGTCCATAGTAGACTGCACGGACAAGCTTCTACAAGCGGACATATAATTCTTTGTTCATAGCGCTCTCTCAGTTTTGGGAGACCGCATGAGTGCACTACCAAAGCTCATTCATGCAGTCACAAAACAGAGTGCAAGGAACGAATTACCATTGAGCCAGTACCGAGTACAGTAGCATGCATATAGTATTACATACTGATTGGATCTTGGTACGACGTCTCGATGTAGCGATGGAAGCGGCAGGAAAGAGGAAGACAGGAGGGCTGAGAATGGGTTGCGCAATACGCCTTCTACATGAGTCACATTATTGTGCGGTTTCGTTCTTACTTATAATCTAAATAAAATAATCTTAGAAAATCTTCAATTTAAAACAGCAAAAAAAAATCTAGGAAAAGCGATTACCACCGAGCCCCTTTTATGAAAATTGCATAATTGGAAGCTTGCAAGGAGTCTGAAAAGCTTGTTTGAAAAGTTTCCTTTATTCCCCTCCTTCACAGAAAAATTTTATCCTTCCTCTTCTCGAAATAAACCTAGGATCTTACCAATCTGCTAATTGCAAATCACATGTAAACATTTGAGGTCCATTCTTTGAATGTTTTTCTAATTTTAGGATTTGCGACCCAGCTATTTGTATGCATCGGAGCATTCTTGGGAGGAGCTGTCGTGAATGGAATACTCAAATTCCCGCCTCTTTACGGTTTTGCCATGATTGGAGGTGCACTGTGGTGCATAGGTAATTAGAAGCGATTCAATGCTCAGTTAGAGTCAGAGGATTTTCTAGCGAACGCCTTTGCGATACAAATAATGAACCGACTCGGTATGGCGTTGTCGATCTTGGTTTGGAATACTTTGTCGTGTCTGACTGGATGGGCAACCTCGAGGTAGGAAGGGTTTCTCGGGTAAAGCCGCTTCTCAGTTGAACACACTTTAGGTATGGACTTTTCGGTCTGCCTGCTGCCATTCCAGCAAGTCTAGCGCTGAACTATTTGGGGATTACTGTACTGATTGCAGGGTACGTAATGACACTTCAAACATCATCTATCAAATAATTCACCGTTTACATTGATAGCAAGTTGACAATTGAAAAAGCTATGTTAGTTGTCTTCTCAAAGCAATTCTATACTTACGCGGTTTTGGTAAGACCTTGAAAGTCAGCATCTTAAAACTTCCCACCTTTCTTCCATTACTCTTCTGCCCAGTGCTATCAAACATTACAGGGGAGTCGCATATTTGTTTGTGAAGAGTAACACAAAGGTGGCAGTCGACATGGAAAAGGATGAAAAGGTGAGCGGAGTGCAATTGTCTTTGTGAGATGTGCTAACTATTTATAGAGCTACGCCGCGAATACGGATAGCAAAGGAGAGCGCGACGTATCGTTTATGGAAAGAGCAGTGTAAAGCAATTTTTCCTTTTCTTTTATTTTGGTATGGAAGTAGTGGACATGTCCTGCTTGCTTGATTCTGCTAAACTATAATATTTTCGGAATCATCATAGTGCTCCACGCTACACTAGTTATCAGTGGCAGTTCGAAAAAATTTGCTGGGGCGGGGGGAGGGCGTGGGGAGCGGCCAAATCTCTAAAAAGCGAAGGTCTTGAAAGATCTTGAAAAAAAGAATTTTTTTGGGGGGTGGGGGAGGAATAGCTTCATTTTTAAATTTCTGAAACCAAATTAACAAAATATGCAAATATGAATTAGGTATTAGGTTGAGCCGAAACTTCTTCGCACCATTTTCAAAAAATCGTAACATAAATCTTGTTGAAAAGACAAATTACACACTTTCTAGAGACACTTTCGCTACAATCTACTAAGCTTTGGATGCAGAGATAAAATTGGGAGAAGGTAATTACTTCAATTTTGGAGTTTTCAGGCAAGCACGTTAAAAATTTTAAAACTGTGTCATAAACCAAAAACCAGTAACCTAGATTTTTGACCTCTTTTAGGTGTGCACAATTCGGGCTCGCTTCCCCTGATCGAGCTTTTGTTGAAAAAGTTATGATTCTCGAGATCAAATGCCAAAAATCAGTCGCTTAAGAAAGTTGATTTTTCCTCGAAAATCATAACATTTCAAGGAATAGCTCGATTAACGCAAATTTTACTCAGCTAGAAAGAGGGTATTAGAAAACGTGAAGTACTAAGTGAATATTTTGGAGTTTATGGCACAGTTTTGGAATTTGTAACGGGCTCGCCTCAAACTGCGAAGCTGAATTGATTTCCTTTTCCCAACCTTATCTTTACATTCAGAGCATTCTAAAGAGTGCGTAAGGTATCACTGGGAAGTGCACGATCTATTCTTTCCAATAAAATTGAAGCCATGCAAGGCCATCGTAAGAGAAGAAAGCTACGATTTTTTGAAAATGGTGAGACAGAACTTTCGGTTCAAAATAATATATACAAAAAATAGAAACTACAAATAATAAAATAATAATTTATGCATCTTCGAAATATTTTTGCAGTGCCTGCTCAAACATTCAAAAAATCAGAAGATAACTTCATTTACTCTAGAGTTACGCCAGCTGGCGTAAACCACATGCTCGCTCATTCGAAACACATCCAAATATTTTGATGGGAGGTACGCCGTCTTTTTTCTCCCCTCGCCCCTCTACCTATCAACAGAATGTAGCGAAACATGCACTTTTTTCGGCATTCCTTTTGCTATTCCGCTATTCTTCATAAGCCATGAAACTACGCATGACCTCGTCTCATCGTCAAAAATGTGGTATACAATAGGTAAAGGAAAGAGTCAGTTGATTTATCCAATAGTCGCGTGAATTTCGATCATGCATTCTAAAGGCAGAAAAGCCAAGCGCTCAGCAGACAGGAAAGTTGTTTCTAGACAGCATACCAGAGTTATCTAACAGACTCTTTCGAAAAAGACCACTGCAAGACAAATGCTTTCTCTGTGTTGTATCAGAAATGTGTTATTTAATTTGATCGAAACTGACAAAACTCCGCTTTGTCAGGTGTTTTGGATGCGCAATGATCTCTGGTGTTTTCTACGGATCAATGTGGCTCCCTATTAGTTACATAAAGGTAATCCAATATACATTCAATTTTTTTTTCAATAGCTGCTTTCTAGACCCATCTGAATGAATTTCCCAATGCTCCAGAACAAAGCATATCGTATCTATTTTCATTCTTTTGCGGAGTTCTCTGCACTTCGATCTGCGTGTTCATCATATATTCCCTTATCAGGTATGGACTCGGGAAAGATCCTTTACCTACAAATGATATTTCTTAAGGCGAAATTCTCCATATATAAATCCTGAGACAGCTGTTCCGTGTATGCTTGGTGGGGCTATTTTCGCAACAGCCATGAGTGCATTCGTTGTCGCCATCGATAATTTGGACCAGGCAATTGCGTACCCCATATGTTCCATGGCACCCGGCGTGGTTGTGTCGAGCTGGAGCATTTTCTACTTCCGTGAGATCACGGTACGCTTTAAAATTACCTGATCATATTCAATGAAGTTGAGTTCTGATTTAGGGCCGAAAAAATCTGACGCGGTTGGCGGTTGCCTATCTACTTACTCTGATTGGAGTAATATTGGTCACAATATCGAAAGAAGTCAGGCTCTTCTGAATTTCACTTGAGACGATAAAAGATTTATCTTTTTGATCAAATATGAGCTTTTGAAAAACGGCCTCTAAATGAGAGAGTAATGTCTTTGTATTGGGCAGAATATGCGGGAACTAAAATGGATTTTGACTAATAAGTAAATAGGGAGGAGTACGGGTAGAAAATTGATCACCAATGGTGTTTAGATTTGTGCTTGGATATCCATGGTAAAATATTATACTGGACAATAGTCCTCTGTTCTCGGAAGCAATCGCTGGTTACTCGGAAAGTGACAGAGTTTCACCGCAATACCTACACTTAAAAATGAAGCGAATTGTGTAGAAGTATTGAAAACTTGGAGAACAGAGAAACACAGTAAGAGTGTAGGACTTGTCAATTGCCCGCACCTCTCTCGGAACACCAACGCGCAGAGCGGCTGGAGACGTGGGCTTCCAAAACGATATAGGCTGTTCATAGGCGATAATGAGCGTGCACCTCTTTCAGACGTATCACTACGTAATATATTCTGGAATTCGATGTTTACCGCTTGGCCTCCTGATCCGTGGAACACGGAAAACGAGGAGCCAGCAGACGGAGAAATTAGGATGAGATACACTGATCTTTGACTTTGGATTGCTGCCAATGCAGCGTTTTGGAACACTGCCAAATTTCATAACGAGCGACCGAACAACGTTTTCGTAAAAGGGTCACACTATTTCAAAATTTAATTCTAGTGATAAGAGTTGTAGTGGCTTTGATCGGGTCTCCAGCGTCCGGGTGTGTTACTTGTACAAGCTTTTTTTCCATGCTTGCTATCCCAGAATGTGTTAGTCAAAGATATTGTGCTCCTATTTGCTTTTGAAATGATGCCAAATTGCGTAAGAACATAATTCAGGTAAATATGTATTTCTCATACAACTCTTGGTAAAAAGTACTCCGAAAACGTTCGATTGGGATAATCTTTTTTCTGCTTACAGACAGGAAAGCGCGAAGTAACGCCTTGCTGGTGTTTTCTGAAGCATTTGTCTTTGACCAACATTGCTTTTGCTTGTGTAACTGGGTCCCGGTGGTGCTTCCGAATAGTTGTCGGTGGGTAAGCGGCACGTAGGGCAACTTGATCGGGCAGGGAAACAGACTTTTGTACCTTTTGGGCAATTCATATAATTGAGTGTGTAAGCGGCACGTAAGGCAACTTGATCGGGCAGGTTGGATTATTCTTCTTCTGCTTTCAGACAGGAGAGCGTGGAGTAGCGTCTTGCTGACGCTTTCGGAAGCATTTATCCTTGACCAGCCTTGCTTTTGCTTGTGTAACTGGGTTCCGTTGATATTTTCAAATAGATGATATCGGTCTGTAAGCGGCACGTGGGGCAACGTGATCGGGCAGGAAAACAATTTTTGTACAATTTTTGGGGCAAATCATATAATAGAGCCTTAAGTGACGTAGGCAACTTGGTATTACGTGTGAGTCACTTGATTTCGTTGTAGGAGAGTAAGGTTGGTTTTTCTTATGAACACAATCTTCAAGCGGCACGTAGGGCATACTCTTTCTTTCAAACAGATGATATCGGTCTGTAAGCGGCACGTAGGGCAATTCGATAAGACAGAGAAACAGATTTTTATATCTTTAGGCAGAGTCTTTATAATTGACTGTCCTTAGGTAGAACGTAGGACAATTTGAGGATCGCAAATAGTTGAATACAACTGCCCCTCGCCAAATATAGTGACAGAATAGCGCAAGAGAATCCAGTAGTCATCGTTTTTAGAGATGGGGTCTCTTTTTGTAGTAAAATTTCATATTTTCAATTTGACGAAATTCCAACTTTTTAGGGTTTTTGACAAGTTTTGAGAGAACTGGTTTTGTTGCCGTCAAAATTAATTCTAAAAAAAGCTATGTTCATTGTTGTATTCTATCAATTATAAAATCTATGAAATTTGTAGCGAAAAACAGCAAATATTTTCAAGAAGGTAGGAGGGTGGAATCTTTTCATTATCCGAATGAGTCTCCGTGAGAGGAGGAGGGGGGTGGGGTTGCAGAAAAGCATCTTAATTGAATTTTCCTTTGATCTTGCGAAAGAAAATTTTCCTTTAAGGCAGTAGTTCAGAATGAGACCAGTGACAAAACAAGGTCACAGGGTAGGAGCCCCCATATGGAACCTATCGGCCAAAGTCCGATCTTTCTGTGCCACTTCTAACCCACCATGGGATGGGCGGGACCAGAGAATACAGGGGATGAGCGCTGCTTCCGCGTTGAATTCGGGAGTTAGAAGTGGCAGAGAAAGATCGGACTTTAGCCGATAGGTTCCATATGGGGGCTCCTACTCTGTGATCTTGTTTTGTCAGGGGTCTCAATCTGCCTTTGATCTCGTTGGTTATGGCAGGGCTTTCGTAAAATGCTGGATGATTTGTGAAGTTTATTGCTTCTTGAGCGGTTCCCCTTTTGAAGTGCTTCTTCACAAAAATGTTTGCAGAAAGGAGTAGGAAATTTTCTGTGGAGATATTTTTGGTCACAACTAAACCTAATTTTGTATCTACCCCGACCTACTTGCTAGCGAACCGTAGGGTCGCTAGTTTTTATAAACTTTTAGAAACAATTTTGACTGAAACAAAATGTGCTATGTTGAAAGCAACAGGATATTGAGAAAAATTCATGAGCAAATAAGCGATGCCTCGCGACAACCGCTCGCCTTACTGGTGTGCACGGCACGAGCGGTTAGGCTTTACGAGGCCTGTAGAAAAAGGTGATTTTCATAACATACAGCTACTAAAAAGCGGAAAAGACTGAGTTTTCAATAACTTAAAGGCAGGTCCCAGCAAATTTTGCATTTCCACTTTTTGCATGTTTCAAGCCTTTTCGGCCCTTAGAACTCGAATTTGAAGGCAGTGTCCGGGCAAAAACTCAATCTTGAGATTTTTTGCTTACACGGGCCTATTCGCTACGCTGAGTCCGAAAATGTACATTGGAAAGCGCGAAAACGGCGAAAAACGGCTTTAACACGGGAGGGAAATCAGCAGGTGGGCGGGGTCCTCCCCACTGTAAATTCACGCTCCCACTTCCAGGGATCTTCTCGGTTCCGATTTCAAGTCATGCATTCGCACCTGGCCGGTGGAGATCTCAGGGCGCCAAAGGAATTGGGAAGATCGCTCAAGAAGCTGGGACTGCGAAATTCACAGTGGGGAGAACCCCGCCCACTTCCGATTTCCCCCCTGCTTAGAGCCCTTTTTTGCCATTTTTGCGCTTTCCAATGTGCATTTTCGGATTCAGCATAGTGAACAGGCCCGGGTAAGCACAAAATCTCAAAATCGACTTTTTGCCCGGACACTGCCTTTGAGCTTCAAACGGGGTGAAAAGACCGTATTTGGGACGTTTGCCCGATTCAAAATGCAGCTCGGACGAGAGTTTGAAAAGTTGGGAGATTCCAGACGAAGATCCTGCCGCGTGTAATTTTTGCTTTGAAAGGCGTGCACGATGCGGGAGCTTGATCAACACTGAATATTCAGTGAAAAGAAGCATCGCGCGTTTATTCGCTTAGATATCGGCCATAAGTTGCCAGCGTTGCCGCGCTGCCGTGGTTGCTGTGGCCGTATTCATCAACGAAACCGGAACCCACGGGTTTCGTTGATGAATACGGCCACTGGAGTTGTCGCTTAGAGCAGATAACACACTATTGCGGATCCTCTCTATATTTGCTGCACATTCGTGTCCCTCAATAGTGTTCCTTCACATTATGCATTTCTTCCTCTCTTTTGCTTTGTTTATCCTATCCTGTTTATCCTGTCTATCCTTTGTCTATATCAATGATTGATGGAATGAATTAATAGGTTGTTGTGCTCCCTCTACGTTCGAGTTTCACATTTTGTATCGTAACTGACAGCACATTGCGTCATCTGGTTGTATATTGGTAGTATATGGTTGTAAGGTTGTATGTTGCATCTGTTTGTATATTTGCGCTTTTAGCATCTCCTTACAAACACATCACTGGATGAAAAGGATTTCTCTTCTTCATACTGTTAGACTGCAATTGCAAGTTTGATGCGCCGTTGCCGCAGTTTGTTTTCTTCGCTCACAAAACAGCATTCAAGTTTCGGCCCTGACTTCACAGTTCACAATGTTAACAATTAACATTGTGAACTGTGAAGTCAGGGCCGAAACTTGAATGCTGTTTTGTGTCTGGGGTCAAAGCTGTACAGAAATAAATGATGAAATGACGCTCGTAACAACAAGCAATTATAGAAATACATCAAAAAAGTGGAGCTCTGCTGCCGTGAGTGTATTTCCATTGCGCTGCAGGGGCTACGCGGCGTAGTATGGAGGAACCCTTAAAGGGCATTCAAAAAATCGTGACGATGGCGCGACTGGCCACACACACGCACTTCCATTTCTTGGCTATCTCCACTCGAATTAGAATCCAGAAACTCGAAGTGCCTGAGCTGAGCGTCGTTGAGGTGATGCCTGTTTGTATGGGTGTTTCATGGTTTTGTTGCGCAAAGACCGCAGTCAAACTCGTCGTCACGATTTCAAAAATGAACAACTTGAGTTATGAAAATGTGCAAGTGACTAGTTCGTACTTGTAAATAATTCAGTTGAGTACAAAATTTCTGAAAATTCAATTTAGGCCTATTGTCGTGATAAAGACACGACCCATGCTTAACTCTTTGTTGCACTTTGTTTATATTTTGTGCACGTTATTCATTTCATGCACAAAGAGTCTGCCACATGGCTGACTCTTTGTGCTCATCGGCCAGCCTCTTCTGGCCGGTTCCCCATCACTCTTCACTGTGTCGTGTGCCGGAACAAGCCGGCTGTATTTGTGCTCCAATAAACATTCTTACTCCCCAAGTGTTGGCTGAGTCATCGAAGAGTCCCCCAAAAACCCACTGAACCACCACAATTTTGGTGCATCGGCCGGGAAATAAAAACCCGCCGATATTTTTTCTACAGGTCAAATCCTGTACATCTTGTCAAAACAAGATGGATTTGGTGTTGCTGAAGAATCCGCTCACCATTAGCGCCAAGACGCTAAAAATACTGATAAACACATACAAGGAGTATACGAAAAAACCAGTTTATTCCTCAGACGATCAAAACGCCTACGATGAAAGCGAGGAAGCCGCGGATCAGATATATCAAACGATACAACAAATCACTGTCGCAAAAAATGAACTGAAAGCCATTGTAGCTCAAATCAAGTCCGAGTACGACAAAATACAACTACCGGGTGCGAAAGAAGACTTCTCCGATGCCTTGGAGAAACTCGAAATCGATACAAATTTCAATGAAATTCTAGGCGCAGCAACAGAAATGATCTATATGCTTCAGAGCAGACTAACCGAAGTAACTAGCACCCGGAACAGACTGGGGCGCAAACTAGGACACAATGTACCTGCACCACAAAACTACACAGCAATCATAAACGAATTTTCGACTCAAAACAACAACGCTGAGCAAAATGAAGTAATCGAAGAAAATGGATGGGTAACAGAAGATAGCAATGAAAGCACCGATGCAAATATGCAAACAAACCGGAATGATAGCACCGAGGCAAATCAAGTACAAACAGTACAAATACCAAATATCAATACAGTACAAACCTGTAACAATGTGAAAACGCCCGCACTGGAAGTGCCAAAGTTCTACGGGATGGAGGAGGATTTTCCAGAATTTTGGGCAATCTACGACACGTTAGTGCACAGGAACACCACACTTAGCACAGTGGAAAAAATGTTGTTTTTAAAGGACAGTTTGAGAGGAAAGTCAGACAATGCGATTAAAGGCATACAGCTAATACCACAAAATTATGGATGGATGGTTGATGCATTGAAAAAGAAATACGGCAATAAGCCAATAAACAGGGCAAGAATAGTCCACAGACTTACCTTACTTACTCCAGCGACCAAAACAGCGGAAAGTTGCGCTCACGTCTTCGACCGAATCCAGATGCTGGTAAACCAGATGGTGTCAGCAGGTCAAGACATACGCAAAACGAACGACGCCATGTGGACAGAGATGATCCTAGAAAAATTTCCTTACGATATAGTCAAAAACGTGCTTATCGCGATCAAAAGCAAAGAAGAAGTATCAGTCGAGGAAATAATGGAAAAAATTGAAAAAGAAATCTCAGCAAAAACCTATGTGCAGTCACGGATGAAAGTACATCAAAAAAGAGTAGAACCAACGGCAGAAACAAAAAGCCCGCAAATAACAATAACTGGTCCGCTTTGCGCATTTTGTGAGAAAGGCGGTCACTTTGCAACAAATTGCCGAACTATTACGGATATTCAATCGAGACGAAATATAGCGATTGAAAAACAACTATGCTGGAAATGTTTCTCCAATAAACATTTTAGTTCGGAGTGTCAGCGTCCGAACTGTGCCTCTTGCGGCAGACAACACCACATTGGTTTATGCTTTGCAAGTAGACAACAAAGCTCAAGTGGGATATCTAGATCACAACCACCTGCTCGAAAACAGAATTCTGCTCCTTTCAAGAAACCAGATGAGCGCCCACAGGTGAACTGGAAAAATAACTCCCCGTATAATCTACGCCAAAGAAATAAAACGAATTCGCGACCCAATCTAGCCAACCAAGCAAATTTCGGCATAGAAAAAACAGGTGCTGATGTCCAAAAAAGAGAGCAAATCGTCCTAATGACTGCTGAAGGGATGATTTGGAATCACAACACCGAAAACTTCGAAAAGGTGCTCTTCTTTTTCGACACCGGAGCGCAAAAAACAGTAATTCGTGAGGAACTGGCGCAGAAATTAGGCTTACCTAAGCTGAAGACAGAAACATGCGTAATGTCTGGCCTCGGCGGTCATACCGAAATGTTCGAAAGCAACGTTGTTTCAATAAAAATCAGTTCTGCTTACGGAAAAGACATGGAAACTATTATACAAACGAAACCGTTCATTACGAAGGCATTCCCCTCAGTCAAGCTAAACAACGTAGACAAGGAATTCCTACAGAAGAAAGAGGTCTGCATCGCGAATACAAAACTAAGAGGAGAAATGCAAAATCCGGACATCTTAGTAGGACTAGATCTCTACTACAATTTCATTCTGGAAACCCCGGAAAGCGCAACTACACCATCGGGACTTCGAATCGCAAGAACGATTTTCGGACCTACAGTATACGGACGTGGGTCAGTTGATGGAAAAAACGAAACCACAAACGTTATCTATGGAATGACAGCCATAATGGAAGAAGAAAATGAACTACTAAGCAAACTGTTTGAGCTGGAAGGGCTCGGCATATCAAAAAACGAATATGCGCGACACGATGAAGTTTTTGACTACTTCGAAAGTTACTCAAAGGACATCATTTTCCAAAATGGCTACATTACCGCTCCATTTCCACTCAAAAGCAATATAATTGACTTAACGGACAATTATGCGGTTGCTTACAGAAGACTAGCTGCTCTGCAAAATCAGCTATGTAATAACACCAAGCAAAAAGAGTGGTACTGCAAAATTCTTCGAGAATACGAGGAACAGAATATCATTGAGAAAGTTACCTACGATATCACAAATGCATCGGGAGTGTATTATATGCCCCACTCAGGAGTATGGCGAGAACACAAAGCAAAACCGTTACGAATTGTATTTGATGCCTCTTCCAAACAAAAAAGATGCCTGTCTCTGAATGACGTCATTCACAAAGGAGGGTCATTTGTTACCAAAATACACGATATTTTGGTGGCCAGCCGGAAAAGCAAAATTATTCTACTTTGTGACATTGAGGCCGCATTTACACAAATTAGATTAACGGAAACACACAAAGATTTATGTCGATTTCTGTGGCTGAGAAACCCAGATCTACCACTTACAAAAAGTAACATAGTGGAATTTAGATTCAATCGCCTTCCATTCGGCGTAACTGCCTCACCAAGTATCCTCAATATGGCGCTGGTTACCTACCTCAATTCCAAAACCTCGCCAATTGCACAAGAAATAATCAAAAATTTGTATGTAGATAACATACTTTTATTTGCAAATAACCCAGCGGAAGCACTACAAAAATACTCCCAAGGAAAGGCACTTTTCGCCGAAATAGGCATGAATTTGAGAGAATTCATTTCCAATTCGGAATCAGTAAACAAAAAAATACCCGAAATTGATAGAACACCAGGGGGAAACATCAAGTTCCTGGGAGTGCCATATAATACCTACACAGATTCATTTAGTGTAAAAATAACCTTTCCTATGAAAGAAAACCTCACAAAAAGAGACATAGTTAGTCAATTAAACTCAATATATGACCCGATTGGTATAGCTGCACCACTAATCGTAAAGCTTAAGTCACTCATGAGGGAAATCTATGAAGAAGGAACAGATTGGAATCAAATTCTACCAATAGAACTAACTAAGAAATGGAATACAGCGTGCAATGAAATCGATAACGTAGAAGTCGCGGTGGCACGCTACCTTGGATCTCGTTATGACGCGTCTGCCATAGATGAGCGTGACCTTTGCGATCTCTGGGTCTTCGCGGACGCCAGTCTCTCGGCATTAGCGGCATGCAGCTATTTCAAAAAATATGCGGGCCAAGTAACGGCACTAGTCAGCGGCAAAACACGGCTGACACCCAAGAAAACAGTACAAACTATACCAAGATTAGAGATATTAGCCACACTGATGGCTATCCGTCTCGCAAAGAATATACGTGAATCAACCACGGAAGCGATACGACAAATTCACATAGTTAGTGACAGTGAGATTGCGCTTTCATGGTTAAAATCAAACCGTAAACTTCCAGTATTTGTACGAAACCAAAGAGAACGCATACTTACACTCAAACAAGAGCTGGAATCTAGCAATGTCGCGGTCAAATTTCACCATGTCGCCACTAATTACAACCCGGCAGACGCTGGTACTCGCGGCGTCACTGCGAGACAGATCCACGAGATCGATTGGATTGAGGGACCGCAGTGGCTTACCAAACCAGGCCCACATAAACAGTTGAAAGATATATCAGAAATCCCAGAATTTGAAGAAGAAGAAGAAGAGCCTTTGAAAATACAAATGCCACAGGTTAGCGACACCACAATCGATACAGAAAGTAACGATAATCTAATTGATATAACGCGATTCTCACAATGGACTAAACTACTAAGAACAGCAGCGAGAGTTGGCAAAATTATCGCGCTATGGGTGAGGAAAACCCAGGAAAAGCGAGGAATTCAAATACAGTTGCAACGATTCGCTCAGTTTGACAACAATACAGAGATAACATCCGAGGATATGAAATTCGGTGAGCGAATGTTAATTGCTGATCAACACAAACACGAAGTGTTACAAAAGTTACAAAAGAAATATCAAAATAAAAAGATTATCATAGATAGCGATGGGATAATCCGCAACGAGTCACGTCTACAAAACGCCCAACTACCGTATGATACAAAATCGCCCATCTACATAAACCCGAAATCGGACCTTGCAAGGCTAATACTGCGAGATATTCATGAAAAGAACGCACATTGTGGCAAAGAACACACATTATCGATAGCACGACAGCGTTTTTGGATCCCGAAACCATCAGGAGCATTCAAAAAGTTCTCAAAAGGATGTGTGAACTGCAAAAAATGGCAGGGTTTACCATTTGGCGCTCCAAACATGCCACCACTCCCACAAGACAGAGTAATTATAACAAAACCGTTCGATAAAGTGGGTTGTGACTTTATGGGACCAATAACGATAAAAACCCAAGAAAAAGTTTACGTCTGCCTATATACGTGTCTTACTATACGAGCAATACATCTGGAAGTGGTTGAAAACATGTCAACCGGAGCCTTTTTGAACAGTTTTATCAGATTTATATCCCGTAGAGGGGTACCCAGCACAATACGCACAGATTGCGGCACTAATTTCAGACTTGGTCAACAAATACTGGACATTATGTATGAAAAAGACCCTAGTACAGGTGCTTCGGTGATGAATTACAGCGCAAACTGTGGTATAAAGTGGATTTTCAATCCACCTGGAGCCCCATGGATGGGTGGTGCTTGGGAGCGCTTAATAGGTACAGTAAAAATGGCCTTCCGAAAATCAATAGGCAGACGCAGACTTGATCTAACCGAGTTATGCACAGCAATGGCTCGAATCGAAGCCATAATAAACACAAGACCGCTCACTAAGTTAGATTTCACCGACATTTCTGAGATCCCAATACGTCCAGTAGATTTCCTACAGGCTAATATCAAATTTGATGTTAGGGAACCACAAGTAGAAGGCGAGTCTAACGATTTAGACTTCGACCCAGAGTTAATTCAAACAGCGCAGCAAGCTAAGCAAGCCTTGCTAGCTTCCGAAGAAATCGCTGACAAATTTTGGGAACGATGGAATACAGAATATCTAACTGCACTGCGAGAAATACAGCGAATTTCGCTCAAACAACCTCGCCACGTGCCCTTACGAAACCCAATTATCGGCGAAATAGTGCTGATGAAACAAGAAAATCTCCCCAGAGGTAATTGGTCGTACGGAAAAGTAATCGAGTTAGTGAAAAGTCTAGATGGACAAATCAGATCAGCAAAAGTGCTACTACCAAATAAACATGTTTGTCATAGGCCACTAAATACGATATATCCATTGGAAATACAAAGTGAGGTAGAAAGCTCGACGATCAATAACGGCGAACTGTCAGGCGTTAATGATAATGGAGCGAATAACAACGGCGATGCGCCAGACATAGGTGTCGACGCTGCTAATCCGCCAACAGGTCACCAAGACCCCCCGCAGAGTCGGCCGCCGAGACAAGCTACGATAAATGCGCGAACAATTATACGTAATTTCGAACGAAGCTTGGAGGAATCGGATGAAACTGACGAAAGTTATAGCAGAGCATCAACTCCAATACGCCAGATGTTGTTTTCAGTTATCACCGCATTATGCCTCATCAATCCAGTTGCATCTGATAGATTGATTTGCGAAAAAGGCAATATTAAGATCAACAATCCAAACACAACGTTCGAATTATGTATGGAAAGCCTTTGTAGATCCTTTCCGAAGATGGCCATCGCACAACGGGAGTGGTCATTACCTCCAACGGCATTAAATAAAACCATGTTTGTCTCCATGAGGTACTTTCTGGAGGACCAAGAAATCATGGAACAGGCATATTGCGTACAGCCACATATATGTGATCATTCGAAAGGATTCCTATCGAAAAAACTACTAGCAAACCCACATTGTTGGCCAAATGGTGCCATAGCATCCCTTGGATTAGCGCTTTATGCAATCATTGTAACAACTATTATGCTCTCCACCTGCATAAAAAGGTTGCTAATTCGTCCCGTACAAGTAACCGTTAACACAAGCGATAATGCAAGTGTGCGGTTACAGTTATTTAGTCCGCCGACGATCTATAGAGCCGTGAACCTTGCCCTTGTGTGCATACTGGCACTAACAGATGCGGCAGCAGCCTGCCAAAACGGCCACATACGGCAAGAAATCGATCTGATATGCACCAGCCATAACAGCTGCTCTTATGAGTACAAACGAGAAATTCTATTCAATGAGTTGGATTTGAAACTCTGCGTCAGCATCATGCATGCCAATAAATCAGTTGGTCTGATCGAAGTAGAACGATACCCAACGATAATGAGATGTGTGAAAAGATCGTTATACTTTACGAGAGATGCGACGACCAAAGTATTTAGCACTGTACGTTGCTCGCAGGCAGGGTCATGCGTAAATTCCAAATGCTCACAGACGACTGTCAATACGACAATCAAAGAGCTTGGCAAAGCATACCAGTTTCCAGGCTACTCCGGGTGTCAGCATTCATGCGGTGGACTCGGTTGCGGCTGTTTTCTCCCGCTACCAGCTTGTTCGTTTTATCGGGTCACACAAATCCCAAGAAATGAAGAAATTTATGAAGTAGTATCATGTCTGAAGTGGGAACCGTTGGTGAAATTAAAAGTCCGAGTATCACTCTACAACCAAGAAAAAGAAACCTTGATTACAAGCGCACCTTACATCAAACACGCATTTCAAGGAATGGAAATCTCGATAATTTCGGTACAATCGCCGCACTTTTCCATGCTAGACAGAAAAATAGCAATATCAAATAAAGAAGCTTTGCTTCTACCAGAAGGATACGAACTAGCAGCTAAATGCGCGACTTACCAGTCAGCAGCAAAAGATTTCAAAACTTGCGCCAACCAAATGATATGCTCATGCGAAGACGCAAATGGAGCAATCAAATGTCACTGCCCTCAAATGTCTATTAGAGACGTGAAAAATGACATTACAAATGTATTTCCCATTCATACTCCCTTCACTTCCTTCCAAAAACGAGATAAGGAACTCTTCGTAAAAACTATGCAAGGAGAAATAGTCGTATCGCTAGAATCCCGCTCGCTGAAGAACAGCGCAGAATATCTACTAGAACAAGATTGCAAACTAAACGCGAGCAGCGTGATTGGATGCTACGACTGTCAGGAGGGAGCTCAAGTGAACATCAGTTGCACAACCAATGAAAGAGCATGGATTGTAATCCAGTGCGGGGAACACACATTTTCGGTAGAGTGCAATTCGCAAGGAACAGAAACTGCACTGGCAATAGAATTTCAAGAAGCAATTGTGCAAGAAACATGCGTAGCGCAATGTAACAATAAGACCATCAAATTTGACCTTACAGGTACACTCAGTTTTGTACCAGACATTGTGGAACACATGTTGTTCGAAAATCCAGCGCAACTAAAAAATTCCCACAAAGATTGGTTTGCAGACTGGAAAGTTCCAAGTATTTCACCAATCTGGAATACTCTCCGCAAACACTGGCAAGTCACTACATTTATATTGGGATCAATAACCATCCTCTCGGTCATAACATATCTATTCGGACCCGCATTAATCTTTGCACTGGCAAGAGTGCTCTACATCTGCGCGGTAATTATCGCGAAGACAACTGCGTTGTTTATTCAGACTGTATACAAATGTATCAGAGCCGCCACGCACTAAAAGAGTGGGGCCGACTCACTATTATAATCAGCACTGTACACAATACCCATATCTTATAACATAAACAATCTCATATGGTAGGGGTGGAACCAAGAAACTTTGATGAACGATACTCATTCGACTAATTCACGTCAGCCTGAACACTACAACTAATGCCAATGGACGAGATCGACGTCGCCTTGCACATCGAACCTCTAGCGGATGCCCTCAAAGACATTAAGGAGCGGATGGAGAACGGACTGTCAACAATTAATGCCAAGATCGACAATATCATGCAAGCAGTCCAAGCTACGAGCGAGAGATGGTCGATTATTCACCACCAGCTAACTATTATGGTGGAAAGGACTACCCCGAGGTCAAATTGCATGTTTTGCACTGTGGAAGACAACAAGGATCAACACCCGACTGGACGTTGCTGCAAATTCCCCGACGCTGTGTCGCGGGCAGTGCAAGCGTCAGCGCTTGGACTCTGCGAAAAGTGCCTTCAACCGAAACACCACGAAGATTGTGGTGTAACGTGCCCCATTTGCGGCAGGCTGCATAACGTCCTGCTATGCCCAAACAGAGGACAGAATGGGCCATTTAAACGGCGAAAGGTTGGTTCAGAACTTATAACCCATCTTATACTTACTAATCAAACCCAAATCATGATTACAGTAAAAGCCCAACGTTCATTCCATGTTCCCGACCACCTCTCAACCCAATAAGCTATGGTGAGTCTTTGCACTAGTTACAGATTGTTCCATAATGTTTATTATCATAACATTATTATCATTACAATAACAATCACAACATGTCTATATTTACTACAATAAACAACAAACAGCTATCACGAATTAATGCCGTCCCCGATGTTACGTCGCAGGGTGGACATAGCCTTCGACAGAGCATTGTTAGCCGCTTCCAATAATGCCATGTCCTCCATCGACCTCTTCAACCATGCTTGTTTGGCCCTTGACGTCCATCGCTCATTAGACAACTTCTCAGACAACTCCTCGGCGCTCTAAAAAGAAAATACTTATCAAATTATTCACAACATGGAACAAAAATGTCTTACCTTTTTGAACTCATCCCTTTCCCGTTCGGCCGCATTCAGTTTCCTACGGAGCATATTGATTTCTCTGTCCTTATCGATGAAGTCCTGTAATTATAAAAAATAAAAATTAATTTACAAAATAGCCACAAAAACCCTCAAGGTACAAAGAAATGCGATGAACATATCTTTAATTACTCACCTGGTTACTTCTCACGGGCGCTACTTCATTAACAGCGGGCATCTTGCGTTAACTCTAGAGTAGCAACATAAGGGAAAATCAAACAAGAGAAAAAGATAGCAAAAAATAAGGAAGAAATAGGCAAATGGCTGAAGAAGCGGCTTAATCACCCTTTTATGCAGCCAGGGTGACATCTTCTTGCGCAAGAGCAGACTCGCGTTAAGCATATCATTCTAAAAATGATATATCAGTCAATCAAAAATCAAATCCCACAGGCGTCTGCTATGCGTCTGCTCTGACGCATCGTTCCAAAATGGTATCAGGTACCATTCACCATCCCCATATCCCAGCAGGGGTTAATTTGTTACATTAAGATATTAAAATATTTGATCTAGATCTTCTCCAGTCCGTCAAGCCCAAAACTCCACCGCAACTACGTATCTTCCATCCTCGTCTCAAGACTACACCCAGTTCGTCAAGCCCAAAACTCCACCGCAACAACGTCCTCCACTCCTCCACTCGTCATCGTCTCAACATCGCATCCCACCTTCGGCCGCTCGACAAGTTTTTTTTTTCATTTTTCCCCTTTTTCGTCGTTTTTCCTCCTCCATCATATGTTTTTGTAACTCTATCCAACGTTTCGTTAACATTCTGCTGTTCCCTTACTTGAATTTTGCCTTTTTCCTCTTTTTCGCATTGCTCTGATGTTCATTGAACATCCTTCCCTTTTTTTGTTTGTTCGCTTGAAAAGTTCCTTTTTTTTATTTGTGTTTATTTTCCATGAAATTTTTCCTTTGAAAATGGTTTTTTGTGCGGCGGGGAGTGTCGTGATAAAGACACGACCCATGCTTAACTCTTTGTTGCACTTTGTTTATATTTTGTGCACGTTATTCATTTCATGCACAAAGAGTCTGCCACATGGCTGACTCTTTGTGCTCATCGGCCAGCCTCTTCTGGCCGGTTCCCCATCACTCTTCACTGTGTCGTGTGCCGGAACAAGCCGGCTGTATTTGTGCTCCAATAAACATTCTTACTCCCCAAGTGTTGGCTGAGTCATCGAAGAGTCCCCCAAAAACCCACTGAACCACCACACCTATAAAAACTTCTTTCGGGTGTGAGCGGCGAAAATTTTGGGAAGCATACCAAGGAATTTTTTGGGGTGAGTGGCGTTAAACACGCACCTTCACCAGAATAAAATTTTTGTTTCCCCCCCCCTCCCTCCCCCACCCCCGAACGAAATCCTAGGTACGCAACAGCTGTCAGGGGTAGAGGAACAAGGCCGCCAGTTTGAGCCGACTTTCGCGGCCAACTGCTCCTTTTGCAGTGTTGTTGCATGTCGTTTCAGGACCAGCAGTCCGGGGACGGCTCACACCGGCGGCTTTTGTTCCCCTACCCGCTATGGGCAACCTACAACCGCTTAGATGGACCTTGCAGAAGCAGGATTGAGCCACGATAAAAGTTTTCAAGGGATAAAAGCATAAGCGAAGAACTATGTAGCGATATTGTGTTAGTATGAAACATCTAAATGTGCCAATACGGTTCAAAGTTATGGAAATTAAGTGAATAGAGGCTTGGGTCCACTCAGTTAGTATCCAGCTTTTCGAAGTGAAAACTCAAAGTTAACATGAGATGTCTGAAGAGACAGGGATAACTGGAAATGTTTGTGCTGGGGCGTGAAGGCGGACCATCTAAGTTTCTGACCATAAGTAACTAGGTCTCTCAAAAGCGGTTTATGTTTTGATTTTAAGGAGTGCTCTTTATTTTAGGTTGAAAAGGCAGCAAAGTGATTACAAAAACGTATGAGGTGCCCAGCGGTAATAAGCGTGGACATATTGAGATGCTACCCGTACAAGCAAAACATTCGTCTCAAAAGTTACCATTTGGTCCGAGAGTAGGGTACTCGCAAACGCTTTGCAAATGTACTATTCACATTTTGGCACTAGTGTTTCAGCTCATCTTGGGAATTGCATACCTGACTAGATTCATATATTGTTCTATAATCTGCGAAAATGATGAAATTGAGGTGAGCCGCATACGATAGATAGAGCGAACGATCAGAAACCGACAGAAGTGAGCAATTGCTGGCTTTGGTGAGAATAGTAATGTGCGACTTGATACTTAATATAATATTTCCCATCATAGGCACGCGAAAAGTTTCTAAACTCGCTTTACTCAATTTGGGCAACTTATTTTCTACCGTCCCAACCTACTTATCTATCTTATATGCGTTTGATTGTATTATACACTAGCACCGCTTAATCCAGCCAGTCACATTGCACCTTCTTTTTTATATACTTCCTCATCTTCAAAAACCTATGCATCCACTTCTGCGTTGATGACTCGGCTTACACTCAAACGTCCATCTATACCTATGACTATCTTGATACTTGGTATAAAGGCGATATCTATTTCACATAATGCTCGTCTAGATCTACAGAATGGATTCTTACTGCACTATATTACTTCGTCTTCTTTTCACATTGTCAATTTCTCTGATCTTGTATTCTTGTTAGATTTATCGCATACTGCTCGAACACTGAAGAAGTGGGGCGGCGGGTATCTAAAAAAGCCTAGGTACGCATGGGTTTTGCCATCGTTTGGGTGCTATCTGCCAAAGCGTATCACTCGAGAGTGATAGGTCAGATCCCATCATACCCCGTTATTTTGAGCTTACATGTAATTTCTCGAAGGGTTCTCCGAAACGGGGTTTGTCAGGTTCTCGCGGATTTCTCGACTTGATATTCGGAATGAGGGGCGTGAGAAGGCCCCGAAACGACAAAAACATAGAAACCGAGAATCTGGGTGGACGGTCTTTCATGCCGTTTTGTAACCTTCAAAAATCGTTAAAACAAAGTTAATTGTTGCAGGCAATTTTGAAATTTGAGCCGAACCAAAGCAGTAGAGCGCTATTTAGTCAAACACAAGCTTTTCGAACAGGTTATCACATGATTGACATGCTCTATCGTGTATGGCGAAAAGTGCGCGCGATTTGAAAGCAAGGCTAAAATAAACAAGTTGGTTGTTTACAGCGTGGACACAAGCCTTCCACACCAAATTTGTACTATATGTGTAAAATATCATTTGAGGAAAACTTAAGTAAAAAGTTCTATAAACTTGTGTGAAGTAATATTCCGGAATTCGACCGTTTCCAGACGGTCACCATACGATATGAAATCGTCTGCAGCATATATTTCCAACACTTCACATAACTTTTAAAATTCTTTAGCATGGACGGATGCTCCGATTAAAGGCCTATCCCTGTGCATATGAGCAGTTTCATATCGCCCCTTGTCCGCCGTTTTTACCCTCTTTCTTTCAAAAATCGCCTTGTTAGATATCGCGCTTCAGCGCCAACTTTTCTGCGTCCTCTTTTGAATTTGCATTTTCAGTTCCAGCTTTTTTTTTCGATATTTTGATGAATTCTTTGGTTCTTATTTCTTTTTTCTCCTTTCTTCAGCTCGTGATCTATCTTAAGCTGTTCTGTGACCATGTAGGGCTTTATGAAGCAAAATTCTATGGATTTAGTGATTTCTCTTTAAGAGCTTGACCTGAAATCGCGAGATTTTTAGCTCGCAGCAGGTGAAGGTGGTTAGAGGACTAAAGTCGCCGAAAAAGGGCGGTCCTTGCGCGCGGTCATTTGCGACAAATACTCACACCTGTACATGCGCGGACATGTGTTCCTGCAGGAAATCTGCGCGGGACTCTTTTACATTCGGCGGCATATAGTCCTCCACCCTTGAATGGTTTTGCCAAGGACTAAATGCGTATGCGGGATCCATCGACAATCGGAGGGTGGGCGGGGGAAATAGAGCAAGGGTCAAAGAGGACTTCGTAAAAGTTTCGAAAGCCAGAGGAGACCTCGTTTTCAAAAAGCCTAGAAACGGATGCGTGCCGGGTCCTTTAGAAGTCGAAGTAGCCAATTCAAGTAAACTGCCCACCATTATGCAGCACCCGACGCTGATTTCAAATCTGTATTCCATCTACGCTCAGAGACTTTGTGGACGAAGTTCTGAGCAGTTTTATTGCGAAAAAATTGTATATAAAAATTGCGAAGTTGAGGCATTGTTGCACTTTCTGCTCACCTTTAAGCTTTGAGAAAGTGACCTAGCTGTATGTCTTGGCCCAGCATTGAGCCGAACATGGCTTTGCACTGCTAAATTTTCGCTTTGCATGCACGATTTCTAAGCAGAATAACGGTCTTCAAAGGTCCATAACGTCCCTCACATAGGCGCTGAGCAGATATGAAATACAGAAGTCAGCGTATTATGCTGCATCCAAGGGTCTGCAGCTTATTTGGATTAGCCTCTTCGATTTCTGACCACCCTCTTGACCCACCCAAGCCGCTGGGCATAGCTCGCGCGATTTCGTCGCAACCGATTTGCTAAGTTACCAGGGCCGGTAGTAATCCCCCTGACCTGGCGGCATCTTTCGCAGTCAAGTCGGCGTGAAGTCCGACCTCAAGTCTGTGCCCTCCCAACCCTTTTTACCAGGTATTTCCGGTCGAGGGGGTCATAATGACCTTAGGGAACCTTACCTGGGAACTTAAGGTGCTAAAAACCTCCCTAAACAGATTTGTAGACGGAGGCATGAAGTGCTGGCGGCAACTTCGCGAATTGACCTGGCGGCATCTCGTCGAAATTTCAGCGCTGAGAGATGGCGCCAGGTCAGAGAATAGGAAAAATAGCGTGCTCGTTCGCGAGATCACGGCGCCACCACCCCGACGTGCCCCTACCATGTCGAGGTGGTGGCACCTTGCTGGCGCCGTCTGCAAGTTTGCGTCGTGCACAGCTACGGACGACGCCGCGAAAATTCTAATCATCATTGTTAAAATTGTATTTTAGTGAAGCGTTTTATCGGTTTTTGTCGTTTACGCAGCATTAATAATGTTTTTTTCGCCATTATAAGTGAGTTGTTTGTTGCAGGTGGCCCTGTGGGGCTCGGGCCACCCAAGAAGCCCCTCTCCACTCTCTCCTGAAGACCTTTTTTGGTCTAGTGATTGAGTGGGGGCCGAACTCGACAGGCTCGCACTCGCGTGCTCGACGTTACACACATATCAACGTTACCTCTGTACTCGAAGCTATCGTCTCTGCTAAAATGGCTATTGTTCACTCGGTAGAGGAGTCCAGCGTAAACGCGTGAGTTTTTTGAGAACTTTTAGCTTATTTTGATATTTTCGTTTTTGTTCGGAAACTTCGTTACCCCAGTTTTTTATCTAGTTGGTTCTTTCATGTCGTTTTGATACTGCACTTTGCCTATCTCCTTGTCATCACAAAAAGAACTTACTGCTTCGTGGGTTTCTTTCCTGTAATTTTGCACTTTGATAGTTCTTTGTTGCGGATGGTGGTAAAGTGCACGCATCCACATTACGGGTTTTGTCATACTTCGCCCAGAAACGCTGAACAACGTCCAAAAGCGCCGCAAAGCGTCAAAACGTTTCCATTCGAGTGCGCAACTCTCAACGCTGGAGCCTAAGTTCGAAAACTTGTTCAGCAGTAAATCATTTGGTAGTTATGAATGAATTTCTCAAAATTTGAAAATTAAAAGTTGTAATTACTTTAGAAGCATTTCGATTGATTCTCGGTTTTTCTTCACTACATCATTCGATCACGACCCGCATCCTCTTGTGAGTCCTGTTAAATCGGCGTTGTGCCCGGTCTTGAGGGTTCCTGTATGGGGTCAGGATCTCGTTGCTATTTGAGAAACCTGAATCTCCGATCAGGCAATAACCCCCCGGAACAGCTCTTTCTGCGAATGCATCATGGAGGTGGCTATATCTGTACAAGGTAGCATCATGAACAGAACCTGGATAGTTGCTGTTTATGTAGATGAATCTACCGTGAGCGTCAACAACGGCTAGGACGTTAATGGCGCAGTATCCTTTACGGCAGTAGTACTCCCACCCCGAGTTTGCCGGCTTCAGGATGGGCACAAGCGTGCCGTCTATGGCTCCCACGACGTTGGGCAGCCTTCCCAATCGTGCGTAGCCATCGGCCTTCCTCCGACAGTAGCGCTCGTCGTTGAGATGGCACGGGAGGAACTTCTGCATTACTGCCGGGTTGTTCAGCGCCTTCACCACGTCCTCCACGGCGTTCGACGCCGTCTTTTGGCAGGCACCAATCGTGTCTGCCAGGACTGCTTGATGGGCATTCGTGGCGAAGTAGCGTAGGGCGATGATTACCTGCAAACAGTTGATCGGCAAGTTTTTTTCTTCTTGAAGAACGGTGTTAATTTTCCGACACCACTAATTCTTCTAAACATTGCTTTTATGATTTGGCCCTGCACCATGTTCTCTATATTGTGAACGCAAAATCATGACCCTAAACGGGATTCGAACCCTCGACGTCTGGCTTGAACTGCCGACTGCTTACCCACTACGCCATTTCCGACTCTAAGAATAGATATGTGGAAAACGCAATCGAAAGATTGAAGTGCAACATGGACTGCGCGTATGCATTGCATATCTCTTTATGCTGCTTCAATAACAGTACTTATCGATGCGCAAACAACTGACCTTGTTCTCAACGTCCACGCTCCAATTGTCGATGCTCACCTAGGTCATTAACGGCTTGAGCAGGTTGCACAATCGTCGCAAATGAACTTCTGTCATCCGGAACTTCCTCAAAATCAGCCCTTGATTCGAGCTGAAGAGGCGAAGAGGATGGAGTCGTCCGTAGCGGATGTTTCGGTGCCTCCAGCTCGGTGCGGCATACATAAGAATAGGAAGCATGTCTGAATAATAAACTTGTTATTACTCTGAGGCCATGTTAATGCAGTTTGCGATAGTGAAGTTTTTTGAGAGACGAATCTAGAAGAAGAGGAGAATTTATACAAGAATCTAATGAAACAAGCAATGAAAACAACAGAAAAATAGCGAGGCTGTCTTGGACAGGATACTTCGAAGTCCAAAGTACACCAGTAGTGGAATCGATCATGTTCAAGCGTTTCGGAAATTCAAACATATCCCAGCGGTGTTTTCTATGCACAAAGCATGTGCGTGTAGTCGACCGGTTAGTGCGCCGGAGTTCCAAGTTGTTGCATGCAAGTTCGAACCCGCGCGATGCAGGTTTTTTGCGGCGGCCCGGCAAATCCAGGCATGCCTTTATCGTGCGCTTCGCCATGTGCGCAACGTATGTGTGGTCGATCGGTTAGTGCGCCGGTGTTCGCAGTCGTTGCATGCGAGTTCGCAGCGCGCGCGGTGCCAGTGTTTTGCGGCGGTCTCCTGTGCCCAGTCTGCGAGTTCACGCCGGAGTTGGCAACTTTCCGTGATGTGTGCCAACTTGACGGCATCTTTGATGCCGCCAGGTAGGGTAGATTACTAGTGTACCACGAAGCGCTGCTAAATGTGTGAGTCCCGACGCATTTGTGATGGCTGTTCGGCGCGAAGAATCGCTAAATTTTTGACGTGCATAGCTCACTTGGCGAAATCGTCTTTTGCTGAATTGGCACGATGCCGCGTCGTCCATTTGCAGCGAGCGACGGGACGACCATCTCATTGATGTTTTAAATCTCGAGTTTTATCGTTTATGCTGTTGTACAGGCAATTCGAAAATTGTTTTATTCCAGATTAACAGTGACTACCTTGCTCTGGTGCAAAGCTGAGGCGTTTTGAAGTGTTTGGACAGTCTCTTATCATGAGTCATATCTATACATCAAAATATATTGGCCCTTCATACTTCCATTATTTTTTTCCTTCTCCATCCTTCTGTTTTGCTATCAACTTCGACTCTACAGTTTTAAAAGGTTTCAACAAATTTTACAGTATCAAAAAAAACCACATAATGATAGTTCTAACGCTCTGTGTCAAAGCTCCAACTTAGCTTACTGTCATAGAAAGCTATTCTCTCGAAATTGTAATCATTGAGCTTGGTCACCATATAAGCTTTTACAGATATACTGAACCGGTATTCCACTACTAAGCTTAAAAACGTATTTAATGGAAGAGGTAAACTTCTAAAAATGGTGCAAACACCATTGTCGATGGAACACTATCCAAATTGACAACACTTAGATGCTAATTAACTACACTTTTAGAGTATTAGCGAAATTACAATGCTCTTATGCTTTAGTTCAATTGCTGACCTACAATCTGTGACGAATTGTGCAATTATAGGATGCGGAAAAAGTACTGTCCCTCAATTTGCCTGAAACATCTCACAAATAAAGAAAATTAGTTTTTAAATCATGTAGGCGAGATCCTGAAGATTAGGGTAAAATAAATTTAATTTAAAACGTCTCTTTTCCATTTGAACGAAAACAGCGAACAGGATCATCGGCGATGCGCCGCAGCGTTTGAGCGCGATTTGGACTCAGGGCTCGGCACAGGTGGCTTACGGGGCAAGCTGGATATCGTTTTGAATAAAAACAAGGGGGATATCTTAAGAGCGCGATTTCCAGCCCCCCCCCCCCCCCACCCCCACACAACAATCGCCTTCTGCCTTTATGTCACCCATCTTCTATAGAAGACACAAATTGTCATTTTTGCCTTGTCGATCTGCAAAAACCTAAAATTTCCTGTTCCAACATGTTCGCCGGTTAAGCGCGCAAATTCAAGCCTGCCCCGAGATAAAGAGAAGACTTGTTTACAGCGAAGAGAAAATGAGATGACACCAAAATTGGTGTGTAGATGGGCAATATTTATTTAGGACTATGTGCAAAATAGAAAAAATTATGTGAATTGAAGGCTGGCAAACTTTTTTGGAGTTAGGTGGCTTCCCAGCCACCTGGACAGCCACCTGAACTGGCAGTGAAAGGAAGAAGTCATATATTTCCCCTCCTTCACATAATTTCTAACATGTTTAACATAACCTTGTTCCACATCAAAAACCCTACAACTGAGTTTTGAAATTTCCCTAAACCCCCTCTTCCTCGCGTAGTCACAGCCCTCCAAATATTTCGTATGGCTGCGACAAGCCTACTCTATGCACGCAAAGGTGCGCGCCGGACACAGCGTGCCGCCAACTCGGAGAATACGAACATTTTTGGTTTTTTTCTGTTCGATGTTGCTTCTATGTTCTGTTCCATTATTTTTCGTTGTTCGTTTTGATCCATTTATGATCGCGTCGTAGGTAATGTCGTACTTTTGTGCCGAAGTCTAGAAGGACTTCGTTTTTGAAAAATTGAAAAAACCACATCATGTCGAGCCCTGTTCGGACTATACCACCAAAAGCGATAGGCCCCGGCCAAACTTCGCTCAAAAGCGCCCAAAAGCGCCCAAACCCTAACTCTCTTCACTCTCTCTCATCTCTCCTCACACGCAAAAGTGAAGAGAGGTTAGAAAAATTCGAGCGCTTTTGCGCGTTTTTGCGCGCTTTTGAGCGAAGTCTAGCGGTGCCGATTTCAAATTGAAATAATGGGTAAAGTAAAATCTCTTCTCCAAAATTCTATATTGATTACAGGTCAGCGTCTAGTAATTTTGGCTAGACAAGGAAAAATATGTCTCAGGCAAATCGCAAATCTTGAAAAGGGTTAGTCAGAAGTACTCTTGTTCAGTGAGCTGGAACCTATGATTCAAAATTCTTATTCCGACTAAAAATAGCAAAAGTAATAAAAAGAACATCGGTCTTTGTCTACGTCATAATTTTGGGTCTATAACGATTCTAAGTATTTTCTGTGCCATGTTTTCTCTGATCACACCCTATTGCGCCGCAGACCCTATTTTATTAGAATCACAGCTTTTCTCCCACTGCAAATCCGGTCTGGCTACCTTCAGCGTATTTTGAAGACACTACCACGTTCCTTAAGCAGTAGAATATTTCACAAATCTACGTTGAAAACAAAAGAATTTCTCAGGAATCTTCACACTTTCTTCACAGTTGTGAAAGAGAGTTGCAAGAATTGGTAAGAGATGCGAAGAAGGATTCGTCGCCGGATGAAATCGTAGAATTTTGGAGCTATTTCTTGTACAGTGCTGGAATGTATTCATATCTTGGGATTTATGTCGAATTTGCCAGGGAAACCTAGGAATCATGCCGATTTTTCACCCTTATATTGAAGGGCAGTACTTTTTCCGCACTTGTACATGAAATCGCGTCAAAGGTACGGGTATGCACACAGAAGAGCGATGAGCGACCCAGTCGCCGTTTTCAATCGCCGCTTCGAGCAAGTCGTCGCGATCTAGAACCACGACGACTTCGTCGGCATACCCAGGAGAGTCGCTCCTCTATTCGAACTGCGCTGGGTTTAGTGTGTAGCAGATGTCTAAAACTTTACTAGTGTAGCATGACAAAAAGTGCGATTTGAAGGATTGCAGTTTGTGAAAAGTAAGTGTAAAAAGAGCTTTGTTCGTGGTGTTCGTATATGATCAGAAAGCGCTAAAAATTAGCATTCGGGGCAGAAACATTCCCAAGACTAACACCGATTTTCATTCTTGTGCCGCTACACCGTTTTCGGCTACGCTCTTTCACGTGATACCGTGCTTTTAAGTTTCTTCCAAAAAATCCCAAAACTTCTAAAATATTCCCAAAATACGGGATGTTTGTATAATCAAGAACGCACTATGTACAGAGATCCCAGTTAGTGCATCAAAATATAATCATCAGTAACACTCTTGTACGAAGAGCCTCTGTAGCCAACCATACTGTAGAAATGGTCCTATGGAGCTAATCACCAATCGCTGACTACTGTGAGGTTACGGTACTCTGTGGAGGGCTCCGAGCTATAGAGGGTCCTATATTGCTTCAAAAAACAACCAGGCGACCTAAAAACCTTTACACTGGACCAATCAGAGTCGATGATTTATAATAATATATTTGCACTTTACCTGAATGATTCTTTCAAAAGTCATGCCCAAGTATACCGCAGCAACTTCTCACTGTTCCTTGAAGGTAGCGGCGGCAAAACCGAACATCTCGCAATTACGATATGGCAGGCTGCTTGTATTCCATCTCCGCCGAGAAACTGCCCTCGAACTCATGCACGCAGGCTGTTTTTATCGTTCGTTCGCTTTCACTAGAGTGGGCGGACCACTGCAGACATGACATGACATGTAATCGGTCGATAAACCTCCATCCTAGAGCATTGTTTTTTGTACTCTCTCGCCATCCAAAGCCGCCGCGCGTGTACGTAGACAGTGCTCCGCCCACTCTAGCGAGAGCGAGCAAACGATACTTGCGTTCGAATATCCCGCGATTTTTCTCCCACCTTAGGAGGAGGCGTGCCGTAAAGTTATAACCAAAGAGTCCCGCAACGATTCTGCTTCTCCAACCTTGGCGGAAACTATCCCACTCGGTCAAGTTTGAAATGAGGGCCTTCGGAATTCTGGTTTTTGCCATTTTCGCGCTCTCTAAGCTAATTTCCTAGGATCAGCGCATATATTTCCCAGGTAAGCAAAAATATTTAGGCCAAGGACTTGACGAGTTAAGTCTTTAAAAAATGCAACTGTACCATTTAGAAAAAACCTAAGAGTCCTTAAGTCCCCTTAAAAAGAGTAAAAACGGTTATTTAGATTCACAGATAAACACAGCGCGCTTATGATGAGTTACAAACATCTCACATTGTAAAAATGTGTGGCGGCTAAAATCGAGCTATGCAGTGTTTTAAAAAGCAGTCACTTTGTACCATGTTCATAAGGATAAACAAAAAGGTTGAGCCAGTATCTCAATTTACGCTTTTTGCTCACTCATATGCTTGACAGTTATTCATGCTGCAGGATCGTAGGATAGACCTTTAAATGAACAACTAACCGCCTATGCAGACCTGGGCTTGCAGTTGTCGTTCCGCACAAACTGCGCAGCGACGAAATTCTGAACGCTGTGCCCTAACCTAATACAGTCTTGTCATTTTGAATCATATAAGTTCTGTTCACTTACGACAGCGTTTTTCGACATACTGCTTGGAGAATTTCACTGCATGTATTGATACACTTATTATTCTCGTAATAATATCCTCTCGCCTACTTCTGTGGACCACCCACGAAGGGAAGCGTATACAACCCGGCCTGCGAGCCTTGAAAAGGTTTGGTCACCGCCGACGTTTAACGCCAGCGAGTAAAAGCATTATGCGGGGCTTCGCTTAATCGCCTCTAGTTCTCATTTGCATTCGTTTTTTTGCGCTAAAAGTTCCAAAACAGCACATTTTCGCCGATCTAACGCACTACAAGGTTCAAAGAGTGAGTGCGGCAAAAAGGCTGAAATCACATAAAGTTGGAAATTGGAATTCTCCCGTGACATTGCCTTCAAGATGCTCACCTTTTTGGTATCGTATTACTTTCCTAGTTCGTTTCACAACTTAATAACGCGATTTTTGCGATAATGTACTCATCAATGTGCACTGTGTTGACTAAATAAATACCGTCCATAAAACAGCAGCATACAGTGACCGCCAAGAAGTTGCGGACAAGCCGCTTCATCGCTCATTTTCGGATGGAAAAGAAGATGAAGAAATGATTGGATTGCACATGGTGATAGAGCTCACCAAGAGCTACAACCACACATTGCACTTTCTGAAAGCAATGTATTATAAAAGTTTCAAAAATCTTTTTCTAAAAAAAGTCCGAAAATGGCCGCGTCACAATGTCGCGGACAATAATTCTTGGAACGCGAAAAATTTCTATTAGGTCTTTTCTTAGAGCAAAAACAGATGTTATCCGGATAGGTAAGCATACTATATCGTAGAGCTCATCGAGGACAATAATCGGATAATGGTTCCTTCTAAAAAAACCCAAGCTTGAATTTTGTTTTGCTTTTCTCAGAAAATAATTTTTAATTCCCTTCTTCAAGCCAAATTTCTTCACATGGAAATCTATTCAAGGCATTCCAACAAGGCTGTTCGTATAAAACGGATGCTCTTTGCCATGTTCTAGGCATCGGACGTGTGCTGGTGAGTTTCTTTGCTGAAAATGGCTCTTGATAGGGCGTACACATAACCCCACCTGCACCTCACCGCTGACTTGCACCGCTTTGCAGGCTTGTAGCTTGGCCGACAGTCAATCTGTCCTGCAAGTAGGCTCGTTCGAAAGAGCGTGACTTTCTGGACAAGATGGTATGCAAAAGAGTTGGGTATGAGAAACAGCAGAGATTTGGCGGATGGGGTGACAAAGCGCAGCTTTAATGGTAGGCTAAGGATTTTTCATTTAAAGTTGAGCAAAGCTTCTTTCGTCACCAGTCTCATCCTGGAAGTTCAAAACCGTATTTTCTTGTAATAGATCCAATTCGGAGCTTTAAAGCCGTTCTAGTGTTGATAAGAGCCCTCACTCCATTCACCTCTATGGCGCGCTTTGTCACCCCATCCGCCAAATCTCTGCTGTTCCTCATACTCAACTCTTTTGCATACCGTCGTGTCCACGAAGTCACGCTCTTTCGAATCAGCCTACTTGCGGGCTCATGGAATGACTGCCAGCCGAGATAAAGGCCTGCAAAGCGGTGCAATTCAGTGGTGAGGTGCAGGTGGGGTTATGTGCACGCACTGTCAAGAGCCATTTTCTGCAAAGAAACTCACCAGCACACGTCCGATGCATAGAAGGTGGCAAAAAACATCCATTTTATCCGAACAGCCTTGTTGGAATGCCTTGAATAGGTTTCCAGGTGAAGAAATTTGGCTTGAAGAAAATTGAAAATTATTTCCTGAAAAAAGCAAAACAAAATTCAAGCTTGGGTTTTTTTAGAAGGGACCATTATCCGATTATTGTCCTCGATGAGCTCTACGATATATTATGCTTACCTGTCCGGATAACTTCTGTTTTTGCTCCAAGAAAAGACCTAACAGAAAATTTTCGCGTTCGAAGAATTATTGTCCGCGACATTGTGACGCGGCCATTTTCAGACTTTTTTTAGAAAAAGATTTTCAAAACTTTTATAATACATGCTTTCCAGAAAGCGCCATGTGTGGGTTGTAGCTCTTGGTAAGATCTATCACCATATGCAATCCAATCATTTTTTCATCTTCTTTTCCATCCGAAAATGAGCGATGAAAAAAGGAAGGCGGCTTGTCGGCAGCTTTCTGACGGTCACTGTATGCCGCAAGCCTGAACTCTCTATTCGAACGGAACGTTTGATTTGCAATTCATGCATATTTGTTTGACTATGCAAATTGAAGAGTTCTGTGTAATGCGAAAACCTATAACCATTCTCATACTTCTCTTCCTCGCCACTGTTCCGATTCCTGTATTAGATTCTTAGCTAATGACCTTTTTGAATTTAAATAAAAGAGATAATTTGATGTAATTGAGTAGGCTTTATCAATCAAATGGTGGAGGTGATGATAATACCAATAATATTAGGCTGGCTAATAAATATCGGTCGCTTTTTCAGCTCTTACAAATGCTGAGACAAATTTTTGTCCATTGTTTGGTATCTCTGAAGAGTGCACTCCACTGGTATTGGAGCATATATTCTGTTTGACTAAAACTCATCTTCCCAGGAAAAAACCGCAAAGAAGTGAAAAGTCGCAATTTTCCCATAATGCATAAATATGAGGAAATTTGGTTTTCTTAGTGAAACATCTTCAAAATGGCAGATCAGAGTTTTTTTTGTTGTTCACTAAATAGGGATAACTCCTCTGTATCCTAACGCCAAATTGCTGTTCTTTACATCCATTACAGCATGAAAACGAAGCTCAAGATGTCAAAGAATTGAGCTTTTAGAAACTTCGCCATGTTGAGGCGTAACTGCTTTTACTGACGATAGAAAACCCTGATTATTTGATATGTGATAGAGGAAGCTTCGAACTACTTTCCCAGGAAGAATCATAGATTGAAAATAACAAGAAATGTTTTTATGACAATTTGTATGCAAAAAACGAACTTACTTTTTAGCCAACCTAATATAAGACACATTTCGTTTGGAAACTTTACTTCGACCAAGTGTCCTTTCCATAATAGAAAAGGAGAGTCCTAGTCTGAAAGTGGTAGTAAAAGAAGCTGAATTCAGGAAAAAGAGTAACGTATTGATGATAGAAAAAAAAAGTTGATTTCAAAAATTGTGTTTTCAGAAAGTTGATATATTTGCCAGATATTTGTAAATTTAAAATGTTTTTCGCTTTTCATAATTTCAAACATTTAACAAAAATTTTACAAATACTACCCTCAAAATTTGTCAAATTTGCAGGTATGTCAAATGAGTTATGGATCGGTCTCGTAGCTGCTGTAGGAGCGTCGGTCCTTTTTGGTACCGTCTTCGTTCCGGTTAAGAAGGTTGATGCTGGAGATGGTAAGAACTGGGCCACTAACAACTCGGGGTAAGAACTGGGCCACTAACAACTCGGCCGAAACTTCGAATCTTGAACAGCGTGTCAACTGAGAGTTAACTGCGAGTTTTGTTTTGAAACCTAAAACTTTGTTTCTCAAACTCGGGATTTCGTTCTGCTACTTGAGAAGCCCTACACACCTTGTGGAGCCGCCATACATATTACCGCAAAACACTTGGGTCGTCAGGAATCGAGTCTATGGGGCTCGGTGCCATAAGCCTAAATGCTACACCATAAGGCCACAAAGCACGACAAGTAGTAATGTGAGGGTTTCACAAATTTCGTAAGGCTAAACAGGACAGGACGCGACATCTAAACTGTTGTCCAAACGCTTACCCCTCCTCCTCCCCTCTCCACCTTCTCCTCACTGCTCACTCTTGATATGCCTTTATACTTACAAGGGAATGGTCAGAAATCGTAGAGACTAATGCAAACAAGCTGCATACTCTTGGATGACTTGATTGAACGCTGACTTCGAATCTGTATTCCTTATCTCCTTAGCGCCTATGTGAGCTAAGTTATGAGCCTTTGAAAACCGTTATGTTGCAAGAAATTGTGCATGCAAAGGGCAAATTTAGCAGTACAAGGCCATTTTCGATTCAGTGCTACGCCAAAACATGCGCTAGGTTACTTTATATTCTTAGAGCCCAAAGGCGAGCTGGAAGTGCAACAGTATGCTCGATTTCGCAGTTTTTATGCAGAAATCCCTCGCAATAAAACTGCTCATAACTTCGTCCATTAAGCAGATCTGGAGTAAAGATTCGAAATAGGCGTTAAATGTTGCATTAAATGGTAGACAGCTTGCTTGAATTGGCCACTTCGACCCCTGACCATTTCCCTTGTTAAGGAATTGACCAGTCAATCCTATACTTGAGATTTAAATTTTTGAATCTTCAAAGGGAACTATATAATGGTTTTCAAGCAATAAATCAAGATTGAAAACCATAAAAGATCTAATCGTTCGAAATTTATCTGATAGTCTTCAAACAGTCTTTGAGCTTATTCTTGATAACAAGAAAAAAAACCAAAAAAACCCCCCAAAACCCAAAAACTTGATTGGGGTGTATGCCAAGATGAACGATAGCTGGCAATAAGTATACTGTACTCCAGCGGTTGTCAATATGTCGCACATAAAGTCTTATTTTTTGAAGCTATATGTTCTAAACTGAATTGAAAATGGTGTCGAACAGTAAGAATTAGGGCATATAGAGCTTCCAGCGTTTTTTCCAAGTTCCTAGATGTCATCATAGCGTAAATATGGAATTTGAAAAAGATTTGACCTACGCAGCGCATATGGCTGGCACAACCTATCGTTCATGTTCGCTGCCTCCGAAGTTTTTAGACGTAGGAGATGATTTCTCCTGGAAAAATATTAATTCACTGAATCGCGATGCATCAAAAGAAAGAACTATTCACAAGATAACTTTCGAGTTCTTTCGAGCAGGGCTCGGCACGAGGTGGCTTAGAAGCAAGCTGGGTATCGTTTTTGGGACGAAAAGCAAAGGGGCTTTCGTTTTTGTGACCGAAGAGACACGGAAAATTGGCAACGGCGACCTTTTTTTTTAGTCGACGTTTCGTTTTTTGGGGGATTTTGGGGAATTTTTCAGGTTTTTAGAGGAAATTTGGTTGAGGGTCAAAGGGGACTTCGTAAAAATTCCCAAAAGTCAAGAGGACTTCGTTTTTTCCATTTTCATCTAGCCACCTCGTGCCGAGCCCTGCTTTCGAGTTCACAAAAAATACAACATGATTTTCGCCCGTCTATGTATGCTCATATTATCAAATTATAATACATAACCTTCCACGATCGAGCCGAGTTTCACTAGATTCTATGATAATGACTAATTTGTATCCTATCTATCTAAATCTAGCTATATGACGCCTCAATGCAAAATGGGGGGGGGGGGTACGACCGTGATCGGCTCCGAATAACTCAATTCGTAATTTCCTGCCTACCGTAGAGCTGCCGTAGCCCCTGTGCATGACATCGTAGTGAAATGAATACCATATCCGCGATTCGTATCAAAAATCCCACCGGAGCAAGTTTCTCAGTTTCGCGATATTCATCCGACTGTCGCGAAGTGAGCGCAACTTGGTATGCTCGTGTGATGAAAATCAATACCGTATTCATGATCAGCGCACTATTAGGTTGTAAAGAAAGTTCTGCCAACAGACGCTGAGCTGATATGTTTTATTTATATCTTGATCACGAGTGGGTGTCAATTGGCGATGTTTTGGTCATACGTACTAACAACCTTAGACTACTGATTAGGTATGTCGTAGATGCTCTTTTCCAAAAACCGCGCTTGCTGCGTTGAAATATGTGAAGAGTTCGATTTTTTGAACCCTGAATTCAATGAGTTATTTCTTGCTTGCAAAAAGACCCAAATCAGGGCCCGGCGGGGGTGGCGGCGCCTTCACAAGCTGGATATCGTTTTTGGCTCGAAAAAGCAAAGGGGAAGTCGTGTTTTGAGGTCCGGGGAGGAGCCCCGGACCCGAAAATACGACTTCCCCTTTGTTTACCGATAAACAATGCACATATCATTCTTTATTCAACATTCCTTGTTGATGCTACTGTCCTATGAACTTAGATTCCAGCAATGTGGAGATTCTGTGCTCCGATCGCTAGCCTGCCCGCAGGCGGGAATTCAAATCGCAATTCTTGTAAGAGGAAAATAACAAAATAGGCTCGTTTTCAATGCACAAGTAACGATATGGCACCAAATTTGCTGTATCGTTGGAGGGCCATGAGCGCAAAAAAGTATGAAGAATTATGAGAAACTTATGTGAATTTAAAAAATGGTAAGTGTTTTTCGATATTAGGTGGCTCCCGCGCCACCTGGGAGCCACCTGGGGTGGCTTCCTGCTTCCCTTCACATAATTTCCCGGATTATTGTACATAAATGTGGACTAGGTCAAGAGTATTACTATATGTTCAAATCCGCTTCCAAAACCACCAAGGCACCGCTTCGATATAGCCCCAAATAGGGTTCACAGTATAGTTGTAAAGAGCAAAAATTTTCGCCGAATGAACGAATATTGAATAATCAGTTTTTAAAATTTTTTCGAACGAATGAATGTCGAATAATTGATTTTCAAAAAATTTTCGAACGAATGAATACGAATATCTGATTTTCGAAAATTCTTCGAATAAACGAATATCATTCGACTTTCAATTTTCATTTTATTCGAATTTCAATATTCGAATATTGGCACATTCCAAAATTCGAATGGACGAATACTTGAATAACCGAAGTTGATCGAATATTCGACTAATTTCGAATAAATGTTCGAATATTATTCGAGTATTTGAATGCAATATTCGAATATTCGAATATTCGAATAACTATCTTTTAAAACTACTCGCATGAATGAATATTCGAATAACCTTTATTTAAAACTCTTCGAATGAACGAATATTCGAATAAGTCATTTTTCGAAATCGTCGAATGAGCGAATTATTCGAATATAGGCCTTTCTCATTTATTCGACTATTCGAATAATCGAATAAATGGACTTTCTCAAATATTCGACTATTCGAATATTCGAATAGTCGAATATTTCGAATAAATTATTCGAACACGAATATTCGGTGCTAACTATAGTTCACAGCGTTATGATCGGCCTCAGAAAGCGCGCTCCACTCGCAATCGGTTGTTGTAAATTGTAAAGTTTCGCAGCTGACTAATAAATAAGTAGTATCTTAGATACATAAACGTCAAAGTTTATGCAAATCTTGACCCTATGTTTTCTTATAGATTCCTTTGCGGATGAACCCATTGAGCTGAAACCTTGAAAACATATGTTTTCGGCCTCGGTAGATGGTTTTAAGCTACCCTTCGAAGCAATTCGTGGAATTCCTCTATCGTAATGATTTTTGGCACCTTGCAAGGAAAGTGAACACTTACCAGCCGCTAACAAACTGCTTGCACATTTTGGTGTGAACAATGCAGTGAAGTTCATTTCCACTTTAAAATTAGAAGATGCACTCACTCCAATAAGCCTTTCTGGAGTAAGCTCGTGCAGGAGGGTAAGGGGGGGGGCTGCAGTGCAGTATTGATACTGCAGAAAAGGGGTGGAGAATATGGCCCAAAAGGACGGGAAGGTAGAAGGACAAAGTGTGGTTTTTGGCCATCCCCTCAAATGATGACCCGGGCTGGATTAGGAAAGCCAAGTAGTACTACTATAATAAGCGCTGAGGCCGCCCATCTTATTATTTGTGTATATCTGTTTGTCAGGGACTTACGGGGGTCAAAAATAGGGTCAAAGGGGAAGTTGTAAGAAATTTTGGCTTCAAAGGGGATATCGTTTTCAAAATTCTGAAATGCCACCTCCCGGGCCCTGACCCATACCGGGGCAAGTAATAGTCGGATACTTCTTCACCTAGCTAATACGCAGGGTATAAAACGGATTTCAAAATTATGCTTTTAAAAGTTCCGCGTTCATCTGAAAAATGTGCGTTTTCGCAGGCCTGAGCCCAACAAATTTTTCTCCTTTTTTGGGCATTTTTTTCTTATTATATCGTCACTTTTTTCAAGCTGAATAGCGTGTTAGGTAATTGGGTCCATTGCACACTAGGAACACTTTTCAAATTAGCCTCTTCCATTCCATTCATTTTTGGTATTCAAGAAAATAATTGGCAGATCTTTCTTTACAACCTAATATTTATGCTCAGAGCCAGAACTTACAAATTTTTAGCATTTTGTAAACAACGATGCACTAGGGTCTCCTATCATGCTTGCTGAGCTATGAGCGAAATGTACTGCGAAGAACTTTTAGGTGCTTCTCTTCTTCGCACATTTTTTTGACCAAACTCTGATCACGTGAGCCCGAAACGCGCACCAACTAAGGGTTAAGCGGAACCGAGCTATGCGTTTCGTGACGTAGCTTCCTTTGTAGAATGAATGAATGACGATGGAATGATGTCCACGAAAGTCCCTAATGGAGGAACTCCAAACCCCATTTTGTTCGTTTGAGGTAGGAAGTGGTCGGAATCCTTTCGCTTGCATTATTTAAAATTTTTTATCCCATCGCAACCACGAGGCAAAGCGGTGTAACGAAAATAATTCAACCCTACCTGAGCTCTCGCTCGCGATAGTATCATACGAAAAGTCCATTTAGAATGGGGCAAAATGGGATTTATCTCCTCTCAGACAATCGCCGGGGCAGGCGGGCACCGGAAAATACGCGTTGCTGAAATTTCGCATCCCGCTCGCAAATTGCAGGAAAATAGTTAGCGAGTTTCTGGGAGACCGCCTGTTGAATCTTTTTTCGCTCTTATCTTTTGCAGATATATTGCTGAATCTCTGAGGAATCGAGAATTCAGCAAGCGACGTTCTGAAAAGTCCTGATTTCCTCTCAAAAAATCCGCGAGCGGGATTCGAGAAATCAGCCATCCATTTTTCCGGTGCCCGCCTGCCCCCGGCGATTCTCTGAGCTTTTAAATAGACTTGAAAGCCCATTTTACTTTCAGCAGCAAGGTGAGCTGGGACTAAGCCCATTTTTAACCTTTTTGCACATACAGGGTGTCCCATAAAAATGTTAACACTGTTTGATCGTTAATAACTCCCTTGCTTTCAAGTCTTTCGCCGAGCTTTAGGTACCATTCTGTAGAGCGAGGATAAACTTAGATTTACAGTATCGAGCAAATCATCTAACGCTCCTCGTTACTGTAGAATTACGGTAGGAAATTCCAAAATGTGGAACCGTCATGAAATATGCCCTCTGACAAAAAATTTTCAAAAAATCTGAAAAATCGTGTACTAGGGTTTTCGCGCACGCTGATTTTACTACATAACTTTTTGCGGGTGTTTTCAGCTTTTTTGACGGTGTAATCACATTTTTGGCACATGCTGGGAAGTCAATTATTACACTTGACCTAGGATAACTTTGAAAAGAACTATCATAATGAAGCCAAAATTTCATATCCGAAATCAGCGGCTTTCATTACCATAGTACAAGAGAATTTGGCTTGTCTGGCTCTGTTTCAAAGCAGAAAACGGGCTTTAATGGCTTAAAATCCTTGTCAAATTTCCTACCGTAATTCTACAGTAATGAGGAGAGTTAGATGATTTGCTCGATACTGTTACTCTAAGTTTATCCTCGCTCTACAAAATGGTACCTGAAGCAAGGCGAAAGACTTGAAAGCAAGGGAGTTATCAACGATCAAACAGTGTTAACATTTTTTTGGGACACCCTGTATTTGATTGCGGTTTATCCTGAGGATGTGTTCCTTAACCTATTTCAAGGTAACAAGTGAATGGAAAAAATTTCATGTATAAAGCCTGAAATAAGTGCTTTTTTTTAACTCATACAAACGCTATAAAAATTATGGAAGTAGGTTAAATTCACCAAAATATTCGCTAAAAAAATCAAATGTTTCCAAATATCAGGTGGATGCGAAAATTCCTATGTAAATCAGATAGTTTGCTAACTCTTCAAATTATCAAAAAAAACTAAATTCATGATTTGTATTCAAGAATAAAAGATTTGCGTTTCAATATAATTACTCAGAAGTTATCTTTTGACTATTCTCGTAGAACCAAACCTTGAAGACGGCATTTAAAACGCGATTTTGAGTTTGCTCGCAAGTACTGAAATGCCGCTAGCTAGGTAAAAAGTTCTACGAAAAGTTTCCTACTAGCAATAGTCCATACATTCAACTACTTACAAGGAGAGGATACTTACAAGGGAATGGTCAGAAGTCGAAGTAGCCAATCCATACAAGCTGCATACCATTCGATGCAGCATCGAATGCTGATTTCAAATCTGTCTTCCATATCTGCAGAGCGCCTTTGTAGGCGAAGTTATGAGCAGCTTTACTGCGAAAAAATCGTATACAAAAATTGCAAAAGTAGGCACATTATTGCCCTTTCAGCTCATCTCTAGGTATGGGTCATATGAAGTGATCTACTTGCATGTTTTGGTCCAACACTGGGCCAAAGGCTTTGTACGACCAAGTTTGCACTTTACACGCACAATTTCTTAGCAAAATAATGACCTTCAAGGGCTTATAAGTTCATTCAGAAAAGCGCTCTGCAGATAAGGAAGACAGATTTAGAGTCAGCGTTTTATGGTGCATCTAGTGGTATGCAGCTTGTATGTTTTGGCCACTTCGACTTCTGACTGTTCCCTTGTTAGTCGAAAGCATCGATCCAGATGAGACATATATCATCGTGACCTGCTCGGAGCGCTGATTTCAAATCTGGCAAAATCAGCTGCGGAGCGCCTTTGGGTGAGGAGCTATGACCGTTTCAAGAGCCAAAAATTGAATGTGTAAAGAGAGTAAAATTGGTCGTTACAACATGTATATTGCGCAGATGGGCTCGCTTTGAATGTGAGTATAGCAGACAGACATTTTTCTTTGTGCAGAGTAATTTGACAGACATCATTCCCCCATTTGAGCCCAAATGGAGACTTCTGCGTACAATTTTTTTCTTCCTTCGACTTCAGATTTTCTTCACAAAAACAACCATAACTCGTTGTCCAAAGGCGCTCCGCAGCTGATTTTGCCAGATTTGTAATCAGCGCTCCGAACACGTCCAGATGATATATGCCTTATTGCCTTATCTGAATAGGTGTTTTCGACTAAGTATCCTCTCCTTGTTAGAGATATAAGCATTAGTGGTGAGAGACAAAGGAGAGTTAAAATAGAAAATTTGCGAAGTCATTTTCTGCAGATTCGTAGTTTTTCCGACTTAAAAAATCCTTGGGTTGTAGTGCAGTACAAAGTTCCCTATGAGATAGGCATTTTGATTTTCACAGATTGCAGTGCAAGTCTAGCCAAAGTTTGTTTTCTACAGAAAGCTCTACATACGAATTTGATTCAATGCAGATTCATAGACTTGAGAATCGAAGGCCCTGATATCACATGACTTTTAGTTTTGGAAGTAACTTAGATGCATAATCGTTAATGAATGGCATTTTGTGAGGTATAATGAAGTAGGAAAGAATAGAGAATCTACGTGACTGACATAGCATGCTAGGTCAGCCTAGTCAGATTTCAACCACTTGGTGGAAATGAGTTTGCAAGAGTGAGGAAACAGGTTGAGGCAAGTTGAGAAAGGTTTCCTTAACCATTTTTGTATGGAATGAATGGATTCGCGGATGCGATATCTTATCGCACCGCATGGACTAAGTCCATTTTATTCGCACGAAAAGCCCATTTCGCAAGGACTTCTGTGGATATCATTTCTGGGACTGTATGCTTCCATCTCCCGTTTCAAAAATTAGTTTGTTTGACATTCTCAAGGTAACTTTTTAGGAAACACATAACATCGCGTTTAAGGGCATACGAAGACAAAAACATTCTTCTGGCAGCCACCCACTTAACCTCTACATACTCATTACATCAAACGTGATTTTTGCAGATTTTTCGGACTCTGTTGTGGTTACTTAAGACATGCGAATTAGAACAAATAAACGCGTATACAGTCTGCATCTCACTCAAATAAAAATTGGCATAGATGGATCCTTGGCGCGAGGGTTTTGCATCACGTCCCGCTTGTCTGCCCTCGCGGTTCAGTCTGATCCCGATTGGGACAGATTGTAACTACAGGCCCCCGCCAGAGTGCCGAAGCCACGCCAGCGCTACGCCGGCGCCGAGCCAGCGCCGCGCTGTCCCCTTTGTTCGGGCGGGGCTAGCTGTCCCTGTGCGGGCAAGGGCTACCGGAGCTTCTGGCAGATTCGATCAATAGTCGGTGCATTTACCTGGCTGAAAACTAGGTCAACTAGTTCCGCCCCAACGAAATACACGTGTATCGATCGAAACGGCGCCGGGGCAGCTCGGCGCTGGCTCGGCGCCGACGCAGCGCTGGCGTGGCTTCAGCACTCTGGCGGGAGCCTCAAAGAGCACGTGCAGAAAGCGGTGATCAGCATGGCTGGCGCATAGGCAAGCACATGCTAAGTGAAAAAATACTACTAATCAGTATTTTTCCAATGTTGTTTCCTCCAGGGTTCTCTGCCCAGATGTTCATGTGCATTGGCGGTTTCTTAACAAGCATTTTTATCCACTTTCTACTTGGTTTCCCTTCAGTACAAAGTTTCGCTATGATTGGTGGTGCTGCGTGGGGCGTAGGTAGGTGTAGGTATCAGAGAATGGTATGGTGATGTATCTAATTAAGATGCTGTTTTAGCCAACGCTGTTGTGCTCCAAATAATGAAGAGGCTAGGCCTGGCACTCAGCAGTCTTCTGTGGAATACGGTCTCATGCCTTACGGGATGGGCAACGTCAAGGTAGTTTTACGCCATTTTTATATGACGTTCGAAGTTTGTGATTTAGATATGGACTTCTTGGACTCCCCGCTGCTGTGCCTGCGAGTGCGGTACTGAACTACGTAGGGATATTCATGCTTGTAGTGGGGTAACACGGCACTTTATCATCTTACATCTTATCAGCTAAGCGTTTTAATAGCTCGTCATCATTGATTGAAGAAAGCTGAACGGTTTCAGTTTGTGAATGTGATATTCGGAGTGGAAACTCAATGTATCAGCGGACACACATGGGATTTTACTATTAGATTCGGTGCAAAATCGTTTTCCGCCTTGCGAAGTTTTAGTTCGACAACATAGGACCATCTGAAGCAGCATTTCGTAGTGTAGTGTAGCGCAGACCCGCTGGTATCATATGATAAAGAAATAACACGCACTGAAGAAAGTCCCATTTCTTTCTCATAATGAATGCGTTTTTGGTCGAAGTGGCCTTTTCGGTGAAGCTTTATATTATTAGGTCGTTCCGAAAGTAATGTCGCTTTTTTCAAACGCACGCCATATTTCGTGGAACAAAGACATGTTAGGGATTCTGGTAGCATTTGATGCAGCATTTCATTCTCTTTCTAATGGTTGTGTAATTACCGCACAAAATTGAATAACCTCTGGGAAAATTATCGGAATCTGCGACCCATGCTTTTTGAGAAGGTCAAGTTTTGCAATTCTTCCAAATTTTTATAACAACCCCCGAAAGGAGTCCAAGTCATGTATGGATAGAGCAAACCCTACGGGAAACAGCACAACTTTTTTCTACTTTTCAGAGCTCGTCGTAATTTCTGTATAGATTTTTTGATGGAACCACCGAATTTTAGCAGGCTCGCCTCAGACACAAATGCATTAAACACCAAGAAATCGTCGAATTTTGAAACTTACAAAAATGGATTATGGTTTAACACTAATTTTACAAAGCATATGAGCATTTACCGCTTCAGATTAGCAACCTTCGGAAATTTTGGGTACAGCCTGGGGCGCCTTGAAAAACCTGAATAATGATGATTTTTTCCCGGAAAACTTTATGAATCGAAAACCAAAAACGACTGGCAAAAAGAGGAGAAAAAGCTGCGTTGAATGACACTCGAGTTGCTTGCCGGTTGTTGTTCTGTTAGGTTTGAGTTGACCAAATATGGAATTTGATGGCATTTTAAAACTGATTCCAGAAACTCTAAGAAGCAAGCTAAGGAAAAGAAAAAATTACTTTGTGTTCTATAGTGTTTGCTCTATCTACTTGCCTCTTGTACTTCTTCTGAGAATAGGTATAAAAATTTTAAAAAATTGCCGAACTTGACCATAGCAAAAAGCATGAGTTGCAGATTTTGTTAATTTTTCGAAATCTCAATGAAAATTATGCAATGAAATTACAACCATTAGAAAGGGGATGAAATGCTGCATCGAATGCTCCTAAGATCTCTTGAAAATCTTGATTCCATGAAATATGGCGTTTATTTGAAATAAACGACATTACTTTCGGAACGACCTAATATTTTGTGGGGGCGGCAACCGGCGCGAAACGTCTAACGGCTGAAATCGTCATCTGGCACGTCTGGAAGCACCCTAAACGAGGGCATAACGCGAGGCTAGAAGCAAAAAGTTCGGAAAGTTGAGAAAATTACGCTCTGCGAAAAGTTCACCTATTTGTGGATATCCTGCTCTGCGGCAGAGTACGCATGCCTCCACACTCCAAAATCGTAGGTCTGAACCCCAGCATTCGCGGAAGCTGTTCCACTCGTATGCATTCAAGTTGTAAGTCTCTTGGAAACGCCTACTTTTGCCGTTTTCGAGCTCTCTTACATTTTCGGATTCAGCTTTGCGGATTGCACAGTTAAGCAAATTTACTAGAAATCGAGTTTTCGCTCGGACACTGCCTTTGAATAGCTCTAAAACAACTCATAACCATTTTTAACTTGAACATGTACTTCTTTGGCGGCGCTAAAGTTGAGTATAGCAGCTTGAACTTAACTGACGGCAAACAAAAACATCATGTGCAGCAACACATCTACCACGTCTGGCCAACACTAAAGCCTTCGAGAAAGCTGGATTTCCTTACAAAATTACTATATTGTGTATGAGAGAACATGTAATGCTGGAGAAGCGCTTAACAAAATACTCACTTTTCCCTTTTAGCGGAGTCATGTACATGTTTGTGAAGAATGACGATCAGGAGATTACTCAGGAGAGGGAGATAGGGAAGGTGAACTGCGGTCTTATCAGTTTCGTCTTAGGTATCATCTAGCTCAATTAAGATGAATCAGATGACTATCAATGACAATGGGAAGACTGAAGATGGCATTTCGCGGACGGAAAGAGCAATGTGAGCTAATCACTAAGTAGAATTCATTTTCTAGTTTCGCACACTTTTTCGGACGTTAAAGTCCTTTGTATTAACTAGTTTTATTCATTATAAAATTTGAACTAGTAGGTCGTTTCAAAAGTAATTTCGCTTTATATTGTTCAATTGTTTTGAGCCGTAGCAGGTTTTTAAAGGAACACTTTATTTACTGCCCGACGTTTCGGCTGAATGCCGTCTTCAGGGGGCCTGAAAGCGAGTCAATCACTCTTTAATCAAACGATCTAGACTACCAGACACTTTCTCCAAACCGTACACTTGACTCATCTATTGTGACGCAGGTAAGTTCTTAAGAAGTTAAGAAGTTTTAACTCAAACTTTAAACTTAAGAAACTTAAAAAGTTCAAACTTAAACTTTAAACTTAAGAAACTTAAGAAGTTTCTTAAGTTCTTAAGAACTTACCTGCGTCACAATAGATGAGTCAAGTGTACGGTTTGGAGAAAGTGTCTGGTGGTCTAGATCGTTTGATTAAAGAGTGATTGACTCGCTTTCAGGCCCCCTAAAGACGGCATTCAGCCGAAACGTCGGGCAGTAAATAAAGTGCTCCTTTAAAAACCTGTTACGGCTCAAAACAATTGAACATTATCTACAAAGCATGCCAAGGTTCAAACAAAAAGGAGACATACAGTCTAATTTCGCTTTCTTCAAACGGGCACCACATGTGATGGAACAAAGGTTTTTGAAAGATCTTGGAGGCATTCGATGCAGAATTTCATTCTCTTTCTAAAGATTATGAAAATGTTGCAAGTAGTCAATGAGCTTCCAGAAAATAACCAAAATCTGCGACCAATGCTTTTTGAGATGGTCAAATTTCACGATTTTTTAAAACTTTCATATTAATCCTCAGAAGGAGTTCAAGTAACGATTCGATAGAGTAAACCGTATAGAATACAGTACCACTTTTTTCTCTTTCCCATAGCTTGTCGTACATTTTTAACAGAATTTTAACTGATGCTACCGATTTCCATACATGGGCAATTAAATCCTCGTAGAACATCAAAGGAAGAGCAGCTCGGGCTCTATTCGATGCAGCATCTTCTCCTCTTTCTAACGGGTGTTTTTTGTTTCCGATTCGTTTAGTTTTCGGGGATAAAATCATTACAATTCATTCTTTTAAGGAGCCCCAGGCTGTACCTGAAAAACTTGAAATTTGATACTTCGAACCCGTAAACCCTCACTTGCTTTGTAAAATTGATGCTAACTCATAGTACCATCTTGGTAATCTCAAATTCCGAAAAACTATGATGTTTGTTGAGATTGTGGCTGAGGTGGGCCTGCCAAAATCCGATGGTTCTGTTAAAAAACTTTTGAATTACGGCGAGATAAGAGAAAGAGAAAAAAGTAGTACTGTATTCTATAAGGTTTACTCTATCGAATCGTTACTTGAACTCCTTAGATCGATATGAAAGTTTTAAAAAATTGTGAAACTTGACCATCTCAAAAAGCATGAGCCGCAGATTTTGGTTATCCTCTGAAAGCTCATTGATTGTTTTGCAACATTTTCATAACCTTTAGAAAGAGAATGAAATTCTGCATCGAATGCCTCCAAGATCTCTCAGAAACCTTTGTTCCGTCAAATGTAGTGCCCGTTTGAAAAAAGCGAAATTACTTTTGAAACGACCTAATATATCCAGCACACACCAAGACATTAGGTTATAATTGAATTTGAATTAGTTGGTTCTTACAAGGTAAGGATGAGGTCGCAGTGGCGAACCGAGATGATAAGCATATCTATAGATGCTCTTGATGAGCTGATCTAAAAATCTAACTTCCATAACTGCTAAGCTCTTCCCTAAAAAAGCTATAAGCGCTTGAGCTTCCAGTTTTGGTAAATATTCAGAGCACGTCTTCGAGATTTACTTGTTCAAAAACATTTATGTTGCCAATTAAACACTCTCAAGCTGGTTTCCAAAACAATAAAGTATCAGAACCCCAACAACTTTAAACTTTTAATTGCCTATAGTTTCTTCTAGAGAAGCGGTTAGCAGATAATGAAGGTAGATTTGGAATCAGCTCACCAAGGCACATCTAATGGTATGCATTTCGTTTCGGTTCGTCACTGCGACCTGGTATCCTTCTCTCGTCAGAAGTTTCACTGGTTGAAATCTTATTGTTGGTTCTTAGAAGTTTTATCGCCGCCATAATCTGTGGAATGATTTTTGGATCAGTCTGGACACCAGTCACCTACATGCGGGTCACTGCTAACGGGCTTGACTTCCGTTGATAGGGTACATCCTGCATTCTATATAATTCTCTTCAGAGTCATATGGATGAATTTCCCAATGCTCCCTCGGAGGGTATCTCATATGAGTTCTCATTTTACTGCGGCGGATTCTGCACAACAGTATGCGCTTTCATCATCTATACCCTGATAATGTAATGTTTCTTCCCTTTACAATGCATAAAGGTTTTTTAAAAGATTTTTTTCAGGAAAAATGAGCCGTGGATCAATCCCAGTGGTGCTGTTCCCGCAATGCTCAGCGGCGCCATATTTGCTATTGCATTGGGTGCATTTGTTGTTGCTGTAGATAACCTGGATCAAGCGATTGCATATCCAATATGCACGATGGCACCAGGATTGGTCGTTTTGAGCTGGAGCATCTTCTACTTCAAAGAAATCACGGTATGTGCCGCTACGAAGAGCGGAACATACGGCTCAAAATACATTTAGGGTCGACGAAATTTGACGTGGTTAGGGAGTGCATATTGTCTTACTCTGATCGGAGTAATACTTGTTACCGTTTCAAAGGAATATTCCTTCTGTTGAGTTTTGTTTTTGAGAAATAAAACTTGAGTGCGATGACCTGTGACGTAATGCAAGCAATTGCCTCATAAGAAAGTGCATAAAAGGATAAAATTGAGACACGTTAGGTAGATAGTTATAGGCAGGGTAAAGCGGGGGATGCGACACACGACCGTCGGGTACCACCCCCCTTGGGCCGGACCTCGGCACGACCCCCCCCCCCATTCCCTATCCCCCTCCCCTCTCCACCCCCAAACTCCCAAGCTAGCTCTTGAGCTTCGGATTATGAGCAGATGAGAGCAGATGAGATTATAAGCAACTTTCAAGGTGTAAAGGTTTAAAGAAAACGGAACATGTTCATAGTTTTCTCTTTTATCTTTATTTAAATCAATATTCGACAATTTATTCAACAAAAAACACTATCTCAGAAAGGCGTACTTTTTTGAGATTTGTGGCTAGCTAAAATTTCTTGGCAAAAGTGCTTTCGTGTCCGCATCCGTACAGTTTTCCACGCTTTCATATTTATCGTGTCACCAACGGTTTGAAAGAAACGCAGATATAACGAATGACTTCGCTCATAGGAAGTAGTCGCCGGCAGCCACCTGTGAACAATGCATTGCAACAGCCACTGCATTCGGACGTTGTAAATCACATAGTACTGTTTATACCTCTTTCAGATACAAAGCGTGGCACCACATGGTAAATGGGGCATCCGTTACGCACACCAAATGCACGCAAAGGTTCATCGTACAACTTTAATATCCACGAATACGTATTGATGGAAGAAATCTAGTTCTTCCACAATGAAACACTGAAGTTATATAAAATCAGCTGCGAAACTTTCAAAGATGGATATGGATGTATAAAAAACGTACGTCTATCATGGGAGCCTTCTCAAAATGGAATTCATATTCATTTGTCCATCACGATACAGGCATTTTGGGCAATACTTTGGGTAGTTCGCGATGAAAGAAAACCTAAAGTAATGATGACATTGAGTATTCTTGAATATAGAAAACATTTTTATGACTAAATTTATTCGCTAACGTGAACTTCGAACTTGTTGAAGATCTTACCGATAGTCCTTGAAACACGAATGATTCTCCACCAAATTCTATTCAAGTCCGAGTGCCTTCACCAAGTGGGGCAGAGGGTCTTCTAACTTGTAAGACATAGTGATGCAAAGTATTTGCATTACTGAATAAAGCACTTTGAAACGAAGTTACATCGCAATGATCTCAAACCTACTTCTGGTTAGGAGTGCAGCTAGGGATTGGAGGAGGAGATAGGAGTTGTCGCACTCCCGACACTTCTCCAGCTTCAGCAGCTAGGTGCAAAGCAGTTTTTCCTGCGCCATTACTTGCGTTAGGAATATCTAAAAACACCTTTTTTAGGAAAAGAAACAAGGAAGAAACTTGCAAAACTTGTTAATTTCAATAGATGCTGAAAAGGCACACATACAGTGTCTGGCAACTCTGAGTTAGGATGTTTTTTCACCCTTTCCAAACTTGTTAGTTCTGTGAATTCAACGTTGTCCTTTAGAGATTCAAAAATCTTGTCCTTTCTTTGAACGTAGAATACCGATGACGGAATTGATGTCTCGCCCATTTGCGCGCAACTGGATGATGGGCCACTTCAATCCAACCGCCTCTCTAATGTGAAATAAACCAACAACCTTCCCCCCTCCCTCGGTTGCCCAAACAAACTTTAACTAGTGGCAAACCATTCTCAAGCACAGATTTGACCTCAGCGCAACAAAGTTTGTAAATGATGAAGATCAGTTGAAGTTGAAGTGAATTTTTTGCAGTACATTTTCGAAACATGTGAGCATTTGGAAGGAACCATGAACTACGAACGGTTGATCTGCATTGTTTGGCTTACCTTGTCTTTTTCAATAACCCTGTTCTGTTTTTCCGACTCAATCAACTTGCTGTAGATAGCATTCTGCAACTCCGTGTTGCGACAACATACGACGTCTTCGTATTTGACCTAAAGACACAGAGCGTTATGGATGAACGAATTTACACGAGTGAAGAAAGCTAGCATAACCTAACGCGATATCAACTTGCTGCTGCACGAATCAATGCAGCGATTAGTACAGGCCAAAAGCATCTACGCTCACAAAGTTCAAAAAAATATTATGAATTACTATGAACAGAAGTGTGAAGACTCGTAAATTTTGAGTGTTTCTTGTCTTACCGGCAAATACTTCGTCGCAACGCGCTCGTTCGTCTAATAATACATTTCTCTACAAGTGTGACCATCTCCCTCGTAGCCTTCACCTTTCTTCTGTTCTTCATCGGTAGCATTACCATCGCGACCTCTGAAAACAGACATACATGTCAGATGAATTGACATCAGCTTTTAAGAAAGAAGTTGCACGCGATAGCGCGCTTGTGGTAACCTTAGCAGGCAAGCAAGGCAAGCAAGTAGGTATATACCTATGACAGAAGTTAGAGCCTCCTAAACCCGATTTCCCGCTTTGAGAATGCGGCTGTCCTTATCCTTTGGACCGGATTAGATCCAGTTCCAGCCCACGCTAAACAGCACGCGCACTTCGGTCAAATCAAGCGGAAAGCATTCACATAAGTTTTCACACAGGGTCAGACACGCCTCAGATTCAGTATCGTTTAGTCCTCTACTGCATAGCTGGAAACGACCTTTGTAGCTTAAAGCAGACCCGACCGAGACCGAGCTAACATTCTGTCATGAAGCAAATCTCTCAATTAGGAAGTTCTCATATAAGGAAACCAACGAAAAGGAGTACAAATTCTAAAACTGTCGCAGAACAATGCAAAGCATCCCCGAATTATTCAGCTTGCCGCCTTTCTGCATTGTTTACGCAATAGCGCAGAAAGGCGGCAAGATGAATAGTTGGTGCTACCGCAACCCAATATTTTGGCAGCCGCACGATGGATGGTAGGTAGTAGAAAAAGCGCTATATCTCACTCTGTGCGGGAAAGTTTTGCATGAAAATCTTACTATGAAGAGAAGAAGGTTGAGCTGTAAAAACGACTTAAAAATTGTAGACATTCGACGGCTTTAAGGATAAGTTAATGGGGTGCGACACACTATATCAAAAACGTTTTTAGCGGACAATGTTTATATGAATCGATAGCCTAAACCTTGTAGATTCCATTGGACTGTTTTGAGCCTGATTCGTCTTCTTAGCTCTGAGTAATATTGAGTGAAAGCGCAGCGGTCAAAAGCGAAAAATGGGAAAAACGAGATTTGGTTGGCTTCTAATTCCACAGTTTGGAGGACTTCTGCAGCGGGATTCCTGAAGTGGACAAAGAAGGAGTAGTGCTTTGTCTTGAGTGCAAAAACGGATAGCTAATTCACCTTTGAAACAAAGTTAACCATGTTGGAATTTGACCACCTTCACTCAGGTAGCTTATTGTTAGTATCTTGAATCTTCAGAATTCGCTCACACTTTGTCTACAGGGGTTAATTGACATGCTAGTTATGGGTATTATACGAATATCATGTTATCGCTATTATCAGATTACCCAACTACGACCCCCTCCCCTTTTGACTCCTCAATACGACCCCCGGTGCGGCGTGCCGCACCCCCCGCTCTACCCTGGTTATAGGCCTAGTAGAATCCAATTGCCCGGCCCCGCTTTGAGTATCAACGCGCGAGCGGCTGGGAACGTGAGGTCCCGACGCAATTTAGGCTAATCACAGGCGGCAATGGGCGCGTACCTCCTTTAGACGCACTTTTATAAACATGAAGACGCTTCTGGCTAAAACATACTGTGCAACGACGAAATGACATGTATATATATTAACCGGGAAATCCATGAGCGAATGAGACTGAAGGTGGAAGATGGAAAGTGTGGGTGGGTGCACTTAAGTAGTAAGAATCTGATATTTTGCGCTCCTAAGACAAAAAAGCCCAGCGGCGGCTACGGGCTGCTGGCGGGGGTGGAGGACTATATGTCGCCGAATTTGGAAGAGTCCCGCGCGGATTACCTGCAGAAGCGCATGTCCGCGCATGTACAAGGGTGCGTATTTGTCGCAAATGACCGTGGGAACCGCCCTTTTTCGGCGACATATTGTCCTCCACCCTGCTGGCGGCTGCCGGCGCGGTATGAACGCACGCTCAGCCGGTCCGAGAGATTTATCAATTTTCTTGAAATGAGCCTCAGATTTTTGACATGACTCTCGGACCGTACAGTGACGATGAAAGTAAATACTTGAAGTTGTATCCGATGCAGGATTTTTCCCTCTTTCCAGCTGCTATATTACCCGCGTGACTGCTGGAAGGTGCAGAATCGCTGGACAACCCTTCGGAGGGAGGGGGGGGGGACTTTTCATACGATCGGGGACTTCGCACCTAGCCTTCGCACCTACTTCACACCTACATCGCACCTCTCCATCCACGTAATGAGTAAGATTCTCCACTACGCCTAGGTGAGGAGGGG